GGGTAATGAGCGATGGCAGTCGACGGGGTGGACAAGGGCAAACACCGAGGCCATCAATGCCGCCGCGTCAGCTGCAGAATGCTCGACTTGAGCCTCAGCTGGATGGAGCTCCGGACGCTGCGGAGGGTGTTTGAGCTGGCCATCTTCCTCAGGCGCTGGATGGAGCTGTTTGGCGACGGCGGGCGGGACTCGTCGCTGCAGATGCTCCAGCGCGACATGAAGTGCGAGGAGCAGCAGGGGCAGTCCGGGGACGGCGCGTGGGTGTGGGTCCAGGGCCACTGGTGCTGCGGCTGCACCGGCTGCTGCGGCTGGTCCTCGCGGCACTCGTAGTCGAAGACGGAGCTGGGCCGGCGCCGGTACTGCCGACCCCCGGCGGACCACGGCTCCACGTCGAGGCACGCGCTCTCCTCCTCGGGGATCATGTCGGAGCGCTTCCTGAGCTCCGGGTGGGTCGGGAGTGGCTTGTTCTCCGGGTAGAAGCTCGCGGACGGCCGTCGGGACAGCGACTTTGACTGCAGGCGAGGCGGGGTCATGGGGCGCATGTTCTCCGTCGAGGCGTAGTGATGGACCGCCTGCCACGAGTCGACGGGCTCCAGCGAGCAGCGCTGCCGTCCCAGGGCCGGTGATGGGAGTGGGCTTGGGGAATATGATACGCTGAGGGTCCGGCGAGCCTCAAGGATGGACTGGCGGTCCCATTGGGGTGGTGTGGGGAAGTCGAACGTCTCTGAGAACAGGACAGCGCGTGTATATGTCCGCGGCCGAGACATTGTGCCTTTTTCTTTCTCTTGTTTGATTCAAGTGGGTATGTGTTGATACGAGGAGGAGTGTTCTGGGGCTCGCCCCGAATTGTTGGTTGGAGATGGGAGGAAATTGTTCAGATGGACGACTGCCGGGCTCAGCAGTTTTAGGACGGGATGTTTCGACGACACAACGGCTGCGGGCGGACGATCGAACGAAGGGGGTCAGAGGAGGGACCTGGGGCGGGGAGATGGTGACGACTTTATCGTCTCCCTCTCCACGGTCCCCGCCGTCCATGCTCCCTCGTCTCTGGGGGAGGGAGATCGACTCTATCCTTGCTGGAAACGCAGAATCCTCCGGGAGAGACCCCCTGCGGGATCTGCTCGAGAGCACGAGGCACGAGCGCACCCTGGACGCGCAAAACAAACACCAGCAAGCCGCACAGGGCACACGCAGACGCACCTAGACGAGGGACACCACCCAGAGACGTGCAGAGGCACACAAAGAATGGTCGAGTAGAGAGCACAGGACACACCGACTCCGCCGAGATGCGCACAGCAGTGGGCTCGCCGGCCGTGCGCACCCCTCTGGGTTGCCTGATTGGGACGGCGATGGGACGTGGTCGGCCAGGGCAGCGCAGCGCAGCCCTGCGTGGATCACTTTGATGGGAAACGGGGGTCAGTGCTGCGACACGAAAGGGTAGCGTGGGAGGAAACACCAGCCCAATCGAATCTGTCTGTTTCAACAGGGGTCCCTGTCGGGCCGGCTCTCTGACAACGCTCAGAGGGGCAGTGGAGAGAGGGCAAAAGGCTAGACGTGCAGACTTGCCAGGCCCCCTCGCCGACAGACAGCATTCCTGACCAAAGGTCGCCACAACTGCAGCCGGGCTACTGCAGGTGCCGGGGTCCAACGTTGGAGCGCCCGGATCCGTGCGCCCGGCCCAAGGGCCGTTTTGCGGCACGGGATGCCATCGCGGTGGCTGTGTGTCCCTTTCTTTTTCTTTTTGTTTCTTTTTTGTTTCTTTTTGCGACTCTTTCTTTCTCGTCTTGTTTGTTGCGTGCCATTGCCGCTTTGGTGCAGCAGCGCGTGGGTGGGCAAGAAGCTGGAACTGGCGAGGTTTGGTCTCCTGCCACGATGGAACGAGGGCTGCCCTCACTATATGACAAACAAGTCAAACAAGTCGTCTATCTGCTGTGCCCCGTCCGTGGCTCGCCTCGCCCCCGTCTCGCCATCGCATCCGCATCCGCATCCCCATCCGCATCCCCATCCGCATCCCTCGCGAGCGGCAAAGTCGGCGATTGAGGCCTCAATTCTAGCGACCCGTGTCTGCTACGTGGTATACACCTGGTATTACACGTATGAATCTCTCCAGCCGAACCTCTCCAGGCTGGGGTGCGACATCACGCACCGCTTCGACCTCGGCCTCTGGACCGAACAGAAACACTCTTGGCTCATCTCGTCTGTGGCCCAAGCTGCCTGGTACCGACTTTTACCTACCCACACGTACCAACTACAGCCTACGTACTAGTATTGCACGCGACCTACATACGACCTACATACGACCTACATACGACCTACATGCTTAGTCTTGCAACGTGGGATCAAGTGAGGGCCGCAGACTTTGACCAAATCTCAAATGCATCATTCGGCCGAGCTGCTCCTGCATCCATCATATTTGATATGTGCTAGCGATGGGCCCTCTGATTTCGGCAGGGCCCGCCTGCATATCCACGACAGGGAGAGTCAGCGGGGACCTTGCCAACCGTAGCATGTCACAATTGACTTGTGACTTGAGGTGCTTTGGTCCCTGCCCGCTCAGGTCTCTGCCAGCTGCGTACCATGGAACCCACCTAGGTACCACGTATCTACCTTCTCTCTCGCTGCCGAGTAACAGATTGCAGCCAGCTTGCCCGTTTACGTCTGGCTGATTGACCGAGGTTGGCAGGGCTGGATAGAGACTCAGCGAGCCGCATGGACCTTCAATATTGTCCGCATAACCAACCAACTGTGAAGGGAAAGGTCGCAGAGCCCAAGCCCACCAGCACACGCGCCTCTAGGGGATCGTCGGCAACTGCTATGATAGCAATCTGCCTTGACAGCGGCGCGACCAAGCCAATTCGGCGAGGGTTGGGTGACCCGAATTGACCCGTCTCCCCCGAGGCTGCGACCACGAACGGAATGGACCTCATTTCCCCGGTATTCACTGCCGGATGTCGATCTTGACAGCTCTTGGCTCCGAGGTTGCAGTAGGAAGCCACTGGAGCATCCCCAAGTCGAGGGAATCAGAAAAGAGAAAGAAGTTCAGATCCGGTCGAGCATGTCGAGCATGTCGTCGACCTTGTTGTCGACCTTTCGGGAAAAGCGAAAAGCACAGATGGATTTGATCGGATGAATCGCCATTCAGCCTTGTTATGGGGCTCAAACCAGTCATCGCTCCAGGCCCGCCAAACAGCGGGCGCAGCCGACCAAGTCCAGACGAAGAAGCTCTTATCGATACTGAGGCGGGGGTTAAGGCGGTACTTGCATTTCCCACCATGCACACTAGCACTCCAGGGTAGCACTCTAGCAGCCACCGCCTGGTTACTCACACCGAAGCTACCCCATCGCAACAGATGACTCGACCTCGGCGCCGCAACATGCATCACCAATTACCAACAACAGCCCGCTGGTGATCACCCCCAGGAACAGTGACGCAGCAGGCCAGCCGTGGCACCTTTATAAGAAGATCGAACAGCTCCCTCTCCGATATCATCTTCCTACGACCCCAATTCGTTTTCCACGGGCTCCTGCAGCGCTCCTGTATGCAGACTGCTTCCCGGCGTCCCAGCTCCCCAACTTCCCTCCGCACGGCCCAAGAGTATCACAATGATCCTTCGAATACGACAGTGAAATCAGGCCACGGACCACCCTAGCCCGAACTGGGCCTCGTCAATCGTTGGGTGACGATTGACCTGAACGTAATCAGCCCAGAATGGCGTCCAAAACATCCAAACAGCTCCCCCACGAGAAGCGGAGAGGCGAGGCCGCATTGAGCGAGTTTGCCGAGTACGTCGAGAAGCAGCAGTCGCTGCGATACCCCAAGGCGACCCCTGCCCCTGCCGGCGCCCCCGCAGATGACGAGCACCATGCGGAGCTGGACGACATCCTCGACGCCCTCGATCTCTCCGACACGGCCCCTCGCGTACGTCTCCGCGAGCTCCTGCTCTCGAACGAGAGCGATGCCGACGCCCTCCAGCGTCTGGCCGCCGTCCTGGCCGAACGCATAGAGGCCGACCACGGCGAGTTTGTGTTTGAGCTCGGACTCGAGGACAGCGGCGACAGCATGCGCTTGTCGCACACCGAATGGGACACGGCGTTTGCGAGGCTCGCTCTCGCTGCCAAGACGCTGCGCGCCGAGTGCCAGCTACTGCTCACCAAAGGCGTTGGCGGCCCGCTCGAGGCAGAGTCGAGCGTTGGCAAAGAGGACAAGGAGAAAGGATGCAGCGGCAAGGTGCTCATCCGGCAAGCTCCCGCCTCGGTCGAGAAGGTGATCGAGACGCGCATCGCCGTCGTCGGAAATGGTGAGTATTGGGCCGTTGCATGCTGCCCAAACTGGTGGGTCCCTGCTTTACAAGCACATGTTGCTGACTCGGGTGTCCCGTGGCGTGTTAGTCGACGCTGGGAAAAGCTCGATGCTTGGCGTGCTGGTCAAAGGCGACCTTGACGACGGCAGAGGCAAGGCCCGGGTCAATCTCTTTCGCCACAAACACGAGATCGAGACAGGGAGGACCAGCTCTGTTGGTATGGAGATTATGGGATTCGATACCAGCGGTCAGGTCGTCACATCCGACACTCCTGGACGTAAGTGTTGAGTCCGCACTCGGGCACGTAAAACAGAACTAACGTGAAGACCAGGGAAACTGTCATGGGAGGAAATCGGCAAGCGAAGTGCCAAAGTCATCACCTTTAGCGACCTCGCAGGTCACGAAAAGTACCTCAGGACGACAGTCTTTGGGTTATTGTCCAGCTCGCCCAACTACTGCCTGCTCATGGTGGCAGCAAACAATGGGCTGATTGGGATGAGCAAAGAGCACCTGGGCCTGGCGCTCGCTCTCAACGTGCCCGTCATGGTGGTGGTGACTAAAATCGACATCTGCCCACCCCATATCCTGGCCGAGACCATCATGCAGATCACGCGCATTCTCAAAAGCCCCGGCGCCCGCAAAGTCCCCATTTTCATCAAGAACCGCGAGCAATGCGTTAGCACGGCGACGCAGTTTGTCAGCCAGCGTATCTGTCCTGTCTTCCAGGTGTCCAACGTCACGGGCGAGAACCTGGACCTGGTACGCACTTTTCTCAACATCCTGCCACACCACGGTCGCTATGACTCGGACGCCCACTTTGAGTTCCACGTCAACGATACTTTCTCTGTTCCGTTCGTCGGCACGGTTGTTAGTGGCATCGTCAAATCGGGCGTCATTCACGCGGGCGACTCGGTCCTTGTCGGACCCGACTCGCTTGGTAACTTCACTCCGACGGCCATCAGGTCGATCGAGAGGAAACGTATTGGCGTTCCGGCCGCATCGGCGGGGCAGTCCGCCTCGTTCGCGTTGAAGAAAATCAAGCGCAAAGATGTCCGCAAAGGCATGGTGGTGTTGGCCAAGGTCGAAGGGGAGCCGCCTCCGAAAGTCTACCGCGAGTTTGTTGCTGAAGGTGAGCACCAAACCATGCATGCCACCTCGTGAGTTTACAGCCTTGCTAATGCCTCGCCTTCCTTCCAAAGTCCTGATTCTTTCGCATGCGACAACCATAAAAACAAAATACCAGGCCATGCTGCACGTTGGGCCTGTCTCCCAGACATGTGCCATCATTGACGTTGACCGTCCATTCATACGAACCGGTGACCGCGCCCTGGTGGCGTTCCGCTTTGTGCAGCGGCCCGAGTACCTCGCTCCCGGCGACAGGTTACTGTTCCGCGAGGGCAGAACCAAAGGCCTGGGAATAGTCAAACGCGTCGGCTATGACTATGACAAGCCTCTGCGACCGCGCGCCGAAGAAGACGATGCTTCTTCCATTATCACTACTGCTACTGATATGACAGCTACGACGGCTACTACGGCTACTACGGCTACTACGGCTACTACGGCTACTACTGCTACTACTGCTACTACTGCAGCAACCGAGAATCTCTGGGATGGGAAGTCTGCCACAACTCGCGAGTAACGGAGAGGTGCATGTTAGCGCATAAAGCGTGGCGTCATCGGAGTCTTTTCCATGTCCGTCTTGGTCTCCTTTCGATATTGCGCAGAATCCGTGCGTTTCTCTCTTTTTTCTTTCCTTTACCTTATGGCGCATCGCGGCTGGTTCTGCCTTCCTAGCGCGTCTTGCGATACGAGGTCGCGAGTCTGTCATACGTAATGCTCTATCCTCCTTGTGCTCTTGGTTTTATCTTGACTCGATGTCACTGCGTATCCTTTCGTATTATCTTTCAGCTGTACTATTTTTACTCGATATGAACTTCCCATTTTGATCTCCTCACTGCTCGTGCTAAGGAGTCCTGTTGCCTCGGCGAACAGGCCGGTGGCTGTCCGTGCGTGCCTTGGGAGCCCCACTGGCGTTCCCTAGCACGGTCATGGAAGGCGCAGAGAAGCCCGTATCAGAAAGCTGAATGGCTGACTCAACGTGGTGCACGTCGAGCCCACTGCGTCGGCCATTGTTTGGCGGCCTAGCCGAATCTACCAGCTATTCTCCCACCCGATGCAGCACAGATGAGCGAGCGGTGACATTGCTTTGTTGGCGCCTACAGCGTCAGGCGGCAACCTCGACCGTACATGGAAAAATACAAATGCTATTCCCGAATATCACCCACCCACCCACCCCTTACTCCAGACCCGCACACGCCTCGAGGGGCGTATTCCCAGGGGCGGCCCGCCCGCCCGCCCCCGCGTATCCATTGATCACTTCCGAGACCCCTCCACGTCCTCGGCCCATTCAGCCGCGAAGCTGTCCTCAAAGTCGCGCCTGTCCTTGCGGGGCCTCCAGCCGAGCTCGCGCGCCAGGGCCGGCTCCGTCCTCACGTGCGACGCCCACGCGGCCTCGGCCACCTGCTCGCTGAGGCCCTGGCCGCCGATGGGCCCGCCGAGCGCCGACCCGAGCGGCCCCGCGGCCTCTTGCAGCGGCAGCTCGCGCACCTCGTCCGACGCCACGTAGCCCAGCCGCCTGCCCTCGCGCGCGACCCGGTCCGCCACCTCGCCCCAGCTGTGGTGGCCCGTGACGGCAAAGTAGAGGCCCTTGGCGCCGCTGGGGGGCGGCGGGGTGGAGGAGGAGGGGGTGCTGCTGCTGCTGCTGCTGCTCTCGAGGGCCCGCGCAAGGATCAGCTCGTACAGCAGGACCAGGTCCGTCACGTTGACGTGGCCCCACTGCTGGTCCCGGGCGCCGCGGATTAGGGTCGTGAAGCCGTCGCGGCGCGCGGCGCGCATAATGGCCAGCACCTGGATGGAGAGCCGGTTGAAGGCGCCGGTGCCGACGCCGTAGATAGTGGGCGGCATGATGATGTACTGCGGGAGGGGCGACGTATTCCGAGTTAGCTCGTTGTCTATTCCCCTCGTTTGCCTCCGCACCCTCTGAGAAGGCTGGGGGGATCTCGGCGACGTTGTATTAGGAAGCACCTACGGTCCTAACCCCGGCGGCCTCGCCGGCCTCGAGGACGGCGAGGTCGGTCGTGCGCTGATCGTAGACTTCTTTGGCTTGGCGCTCCCGCTCGTACGCAAAGATGTCGTCCGTCTTGTCGTTGAAGACGCGCGTCTCGACGAGCTTCCCCGAAACGGCCTGATCGCCCAGCGCCGAGGTTCCTCCCGTCTAAATCCATTTCTTGTGTTTTAGTTTCGAGCTTTCTGTAGTTATGATGTGACACCAAAGATTTAGGGGGCAACGAAAAAAAGCCTACGTGGATAAAGTGCGTCTCCATGCCGGTCGCCTCCTTCCTGTCGCCGAGGCCCCGGATCAGCGCCACGACCGAGGCGTCGTGCTGCGAGCTGGCCGTGTGCACGACGGCGTCGTGGTCGGCCGCCGCCCGGCGCAGCGCGTCCACGTCGTCGAGGCCCCTGAAGAGGATGGGGTCCACGCCCAGCCCCCTGAGCACCGCCGCCTGCTCCTCCTTGCGGACGAGGGCCGAGATGCGGCTGGCCTTGAGCGCGGGCTCCGACGACGCCAGCAGCGTCGCGAGCACCGTGCCGCCACTGGGTAGGTGATTCATCCAGGTTAATTTCCGTGGCTTTACAGTCCGGCCGGGTATGTAGGTAGCATCCAGGCCCGGGCTCGACGGGGAAGAAATGTGCAAGGCGATTACATGTAGCCCGTGGCGCCCGTCAGAAGGATCTTGTGTGAGGCCATTCTGCTTTCTGCGTGCTACTGTAGCTCAGCGTGGGAGCTGCCCGTTTGCTCGGGTTAACACGGAAACAAATGTTTTGTTTCTCTTGTATCCGGATTCCGTTCGAGATGTCAAGACCAATAATACTTGTCGGATCGATAACTTATAGATATGTCGTCAAGGCGTGTGACCTGCCAGCCACATTGCCAGTGGCTTAGAGATACACGCATACGGCAAGCTGCACCGGGCTGCTGCGTCAGCGAGCGGGGTTTGCATGTTGTCTGTAGGTGCGACATTATGACGCCCCCCAAAATGCAACTGAACCCTTCCTGCTTGGCTTCTGAGGGCCCGCGGTAGAAGCTTCACAACAGCCCAGGCTTGTCTATACAGCTTCGGACGGAGATGTTGCCGAATCCGAAACTGTATGTAAGCATGTCTTTGTCTAATACTGCACGGTCGCGGGCGGTTAAACCTCCCGTTCAACGAGGGCGAAACGTCGTGCTTAGCAAGCGCATGAGCGTGGAGAACATTTACCCTACGACCAGTTTGCAGTTTGGAACATGCAATAACCGCGGTGGAAGCTTTCTCCCAATAGTCCATAATCATGTAAATGCCCGGTTGGGTTGATAATCAGCTGGCAGACTGGGATCCCCTACACGGGTTGCCCCTCTTTGGGGCTGCACAATTGTAGGCGGCGGGGGCCCCTGCTGCTTGCCCCTGAACACACAACATGCAGTGGCATCTCCACATGATCGCCAGCCCCCTCCATCTCGCCAATATGAGGTACAGAATTAAGCCATTTTCCCAACAATTGGTTCGGTGGTGTAGTTGGTTATCACGTGTGCCTCACACGCACAAGGTTCTGAGTTCGAGCCTCGGCCGAATCAATTTGTTTTTGCTGTTTTGACACACCCATGTACGTGTTGTGTATGTGATGTGACTGTTTTGGGCATGTTGAGAGCTGCCAGTTGTGCCACAGTCCGGACTATCAGAGTGCGTAGGCGTTAATGGCGATGTTGTGTTATTATCTTTTGGTTAATTACCACTGAAATCAACGCTGGATACGGTTTTGAACAATGTCCCCTGAAGGCGATGACTCTCCTTTACTGTGCCGTACGCCTTCGACGCCAACTCGTACCCGCCAGTGCGGAATCCAATCCCCGTTCCCATTTTACCAAACTCCACTTTCACCATTAAGCTTGTGCCCGGCGCTGGAATACGTCGTGATGTCCCCAATAGCCTTGACTCCAGTTTGAACTGAGAGTGAAAAAAGGGGCCAACAGGTATGGTCACATTACTTGGCCTGCCGCTGTTCTCTGACATGCTCGAGATATAGGTCCAATTCACGGGGCGCGATATCGCGAAGCTTCTCCCTGGTCTCCACAGACGTGTGCTGAGGATCCGCAGAGTAGCCCTCCCACTGCACGAGATATTTCGTGCGCTTCTTAGGCTGGGGTCCCCGTGAGTCTACCCGAAGTGGCCTAGCAGACCAGTGCCGCAGCACCGAGAACACGCGAAACGCCCCGGTAATGGGACGCCCTCCAACGCTTTCCCAGTATTTATACAAGAGCTCGGGTACCTGGGCCTGGATAGACCGCTCCGACTCCCAGCTCGGTTCCGCAAAGTTCACCCACCGGACCGACAATTCGAATGCGTGGTCAATATCTGCATCTCGCCGGTGGTCGACGATGGAGCTGATGGTGAACTTTTTGTCGGTGACGTCTTCGTTGAGGATGATTGGGATGGCCTCAGGGTCGGAATTGGACTCGATTATGGCCACCTGCCCATCGTCATCTTCCAGATGGCCATCTTGCTCCTCCTCGTCATCTTCCAGCTGGCGGTCCTGCTCCTCCTCGTTGTCTTCCAGCTGGCAGTCCTGCTCCTCCTCGTCGTCCTTGTTGTTACTCTTCTGCGGGGCGGCGAGATGAGAGGACTCGAAAGCATCGTCGGCCTGCTGCTTGCCAGGGGTTCGCTGGCGGACGCCAATGCTCAAAGGATCATACTCGCTGCTTTCGGAATCACTCTGGTCGTCGGCGAGCTCCTCTTGTAGAGGCTTGTGTGGCCTTCCGCGACGAGCCACAGGACTCCGCACGGTGGCCTGTGTGCGGCTCGGCGGACTCTGGCTTGGGAAGTCGTATACGGTGGCCTGTGTGTGGTTCGGCGGACTCTGGGTTGCGAAGTCATACACGGTGGCCTGTGTGTGGCTTGGAGGACTCTGGCTTGCGAATCCATATCGGGTTTCTGCGTCATCGAAAGAAATCGCACATTGATCGTCCGTGTGGGTGGGAGTGGAGAGGTCAACACTAAGCCGTGCCTTGCGGGGTAGCAGTTGTTTGTCGTCATCGGTGCTGCTCTGCGTGCCATGGCCGTCGGCCTCGCTATCGCTTGTCGGAGCCGGTCGAGCCTTGAGCTTGGCGGGTGACCGCTTCTTCGTGGTCTGTATGATGTTCGCCTCATACTCCACCGTCGTGTCGGTATTTGGTTTGGGGGCCCGGGTCGATTCTGTTGGAGGGGTTGTCAACGAGGAAGACGCAGGTTGTCCATCCTCTGAATGGCAACTTCCCTCGCTCGGAGGCCTCTGCGGGAAAATCTGGTCGCCTTCCACTAGGCGCCTTCGTTGCGCGGGCCTTTGGGAGAGGCTGGGGCCATCGTGATTGGTCGGAACAGCATCGCTGGCCTTGCGCTTCCTGCCCGTGGTCGGTATCGCGGCAGCGGGGGTGTCGGGCTCAAGCTCCAGCGTAGGCTCTTGTGGTTCGGATGGCGGTTGAGGGGCGGGCTCGCGCGCACTGAACAAATACCGAAGCATAACTGGGATCCCACGGGCGCCCTGGTGTTGCCCATGACGCAGCTTGGAGAGATGCGCACGAGAATTCGCCTGCCAGAGCACAACCGAGTGCAGATTTCGGCAGCGAATTGCCGAGTCCGAAGTCAGACTTGGTGAGTGAGTGGTAGCAGTACGAGATGGTTTGCAGTCTCCCTTTTTTTTTTCTTTTTTTTTTTTGGTCGCGGGGTGCCCAGCTTGGGTTCTGGGTTCCTTTCCTATTGGGGCGTGACGCGCGACGATCGCGCGCAACCAATCGCCAAAAATGCCGTGCCCCACTCCAGCTCCAGCTCCAGCCCAGAGCTTCAAATGCAGCCTGTGAGCGGAGCCGAGGCTTTGGTTGGTACGCACATCCTGTCTCCCATTGCTCTCCACTGTCCAATTTGGAAATAAGTCGTATCTCTCAGGCTACTACTATGGAGGAACCCTTTTTATCCCTCCTGTGCTTAACATTGCTTGTTTACTATCACGAGGCTAGGAGTTTCTCGGGTTCGGTTGGTGGCGACTCCGAAGGGTCGTGTAAAGCACATTACTACCTACTCAGAGCAACCGACCTACCCGACACACCTACACTGTACATGTCATCCCCGCATGACATGATCCTCTCGTCCGGTCACATGCAACGACCTTTTTCAACTGGACAGCAGAGTCCGGAGATACGGTGCTCGGACGTCATTCTACGCAATTGCCTATCAGTGCTTGTGTATGTTGACGGGGTTGCCCAGACCAGTATTCGTATTCAGCCCTGATGGGTGTGCTTCAAATCACAATAGAGTTGCTGTCCAAAAGTCGGATGGGTAAAACTCAGGCGCAGTCATGAATGTTGGGCTGACGCCTGCCGTTTATGGATACTGCGGGCGACAAATCGGCAGATCAAGACCGGGGTATATAGGTATCGTGGTCTTCCCGTTCAAAAGTGCGTGTGCCGTACCATTGCTGGCCCAGTTGTTCATTGGGCTTTTGAGACTTTGAGCAGCTTCAGTGGAGGGTAAGAGTTTCCCTTACTCTTGGCGCCATCTCGCGCATTCATAACGTCTTATAAGCTCGAGCCCCTTGTCTACTTCCCACTCAAGCTGTTCGTCGCCCCTCTTCTTCAACTATCTGTCCACCATGGCAGCAATCGGTCACTGCTGGCTACAAGTCAAGCAACGCCTACATCGGGCTCAGTGGCCCCGGCCTGGCTCGGAAGCTGGCAGAGCGCAACGTTGAGAACTCGGTTCCATACATTATCCCCATCCTTGACTCTCTGCCCGCAAACTTTACCTTGATTGATGTTGGCCGCGGGCCATGCAGCATCACCATCGACATTGCTCAAAGGTAGGAACGTGTGTGCTTTTCTGTTTCACGGGGCTTTCCGAGGTAAGCGAGCGCCAATGGCACGCGTGCTCACCACATACTCTCCTTCCTGCCCCTTTCAGATATCCACATGCAACCATTCTAGGCCTGGACTCGCCCGATGCCCTCGCCATCGCCAGAGACAACATCAATGTTGCCGGTGTGACCAACATCACCCTGATGGCCGGAGACGCCCTCGATCTCCGGGCGGCGGCTGACTATGTTCTTGTCGAAAAAAGTAGTGGCGGCGAAGGTCCGGGAACGGACCTGGGAGAGCGTCTCTGCAACGGCGGCTTCGATGTCGCGCACACACACCAGGTGATGCTTCACGTCCAGGACCCGGCGCGGCTTATGCGCGAGCTGCGCGGCGCCGTCAAGAAACGCGGGGGCGTCGTTTGTGTAAGTGCGGACGGACGTCGCTGGCTGAGACGACTGAGCATTCGCCCACCGCTTGCTAACGAGAATGGAATATTTGCTCCAGTGCCGCGATGCCGAGCTTGGGAGCATGATTGTGCATCCAAACTCGGAGGTCCTATCGCGCTTTTGCAGCATAATCCCCTCCATCATGTCCAACCACGGCGCCGACCCCGAAGTTGGCCGGAAGCACCTCGAGTATGCCCTCAAGGCCGGGTTCAAGAGATCGGAAGTCGAGATCAGCATGGGCCAGATGCTAGCCTCGGCTCAAGAGGAGCGCAAGTCACTTGCGGAGCCGTTTCTTGGGGGCAGTCTACAGCAGGTCGACGTCACCGGTCCGAACACGGCCTTTGTGCGCGCAGGCCTGAAGCCAGATGCGGTATATGAGGTACTTAGGGCTTGGCGAGAGTGGGTGGAAATCGAGTACGGCTGGTGCTTCATAGCCAACGCGCAAGTTGTATGCAGGAGGAGTGACTAGCTCTCTCTGGGGTTTCAAGGGGGGGAAGCTGGGTCTGTTAGGCCATCTTTGCGTAATCATTCATCCATCAGCTGTCCCCCGAGTTTACTCCAACCATCAGGAAAGGGACGAAAATGGACCTGGCCCTTCTCTTTCTCCCAAATCAATCAGTATTTGCCTAAGCGACGAGAGCCATTAGATTGTATGGGCCTCGCCTGCTCTGCTCATCATATCTTGGCAACTACCTTGTGTTTTCTATCCCAAGAACATCCCTAACGGCGTATCGAGTTAGCGCCGAATTAGACGCAGCAGTGGCAGGTTCGTGCAGCTATCAACAAGGACTTTATTATGGGCAAAGTTACATCGTTAAGGTCGGTTGACCGTTGGTCCAAATGGGGTGCCCGCCAAATTGACCAAATTAGGTGGTCGTACAGCATGTCTCCGCTGATCCCAACGGCCGCGCCATCAAGATGGATGCGGCCAGAATCAGATGCAAGGCAGCCACATCCGTCCTCTTGGTGGTTGGTCAGCATTGGTCGTGCCTTGTGCCCAAGTCGAGCCTCATGGTGCGGGTTAGCGTCGTTGATGTGACCCCCACGCGCCCACTCGCCGCCCTTCCCGAACGAATTATCCACCACCTAAACCAAGCAGCTTTGGCGAGGACGGGAGCGTCGACAAAGCCGAGCAGCCAAGCCACCATGTGCAACCGACCATCCCAGCTCGGTCACATTTGAGCGCCAGAAATTAGTCAACTCAGCTTTCGGCCCGAACCCTTGGTTCGTTGCTCCTCGAGCATCCCCGGCTGCTGACAGAGCTTTCCCAGACAGACCGACAAGCTCTGAGAGATACTGGATACGAGCTGCGAAGCCCGGCCCTTCAGGCTGCCTTGTTACTCGAGAATCCAACTCGCCGGGAAGGGTGCGATCACGGGTGATGTTCCGTCACGCTAGCACTGCGGCCCGCTGCGCAGCCACGTAGCACTACTACAGTACCTGCATGTTCGGGAAAATAGGATGTCCATAGGGCTGCTCGGTGTACGCGGGGCGCTATGGTGGGAGAGTCTGTTCCTGAGTGGGACGGCGGCGGCCACCAGCAGGGACGACAGGTGTGGCGTGACACCGTAATGCGATACCGTCAAATGATGAGCTTCCCCGCTCATGATAGGTAGATATCATCTGCGCTATGGCGGACCAGGAGGAAGGGTTCGCGCCGCATCGGTGCGACCCGAGTGGGCTGCGACTGCTGCTTGTCGAGGGTCTAGACCTGTTGGGGACTGTCACCATCACTCTTCCTGGGAAACTGATAATGTGACCGAGCGCAATCTGATTTCCGTTACTCCCAATCGGCCAATAGGCAGGGTGGTCCGGCTTCGGTTACAATAATGACGCGCCCCTGACTGTTGATAACACAAGCTGGGCCAACCCTCCGTCTTCCCCCTTTCTGTCTGGTGTAAGGCTTATCCAACTGGGCGGCCCGACTCGGATTTTAGCAGGGCCCAGAGCTCGTTCTACTGCGTTTTCTTAAATCCCCCCCTATTGCAAGTCCCTTCCACAATACCATGCCGTATGTTTCTTGGGGCACTTGGGCAAGCCACTACCCAAGGCAAACGGGCTTGCAGGTATGATTATTTGTATACACCAGGCTGTAGAGCCCAGTGGATAAGTTCACCCTGCACCTTGGGGAATGAGCCTGGTTGGTCGTAATGGACATTTTTGCCGTGCTCATATACTGGAGGTGTAGCACAAAAGCTTGGTTAAACCGCCATGCTCGAAGGAACGCGTATTGGCATTCTAAAGAATCCGCGCCGGTGTTCTTTCTAGTTATCGTCTCGCCACCATAGCTCCTATTAGATACTGAAGCCTGGACCATAGCCTGTTCTCGAGTATGGCCCACGTCAGCCCCCTTTCTAAAGGATGTGATGCCCTCATGGGCGATACGGGATGAGGCGAAGCAGCGTCTCACAAACGGCCCAGTCGCTTTGGGCGATAATATGACTTTATTCCAGGCCGACCATTGTTTCTAGGCTTGTAAGCCCACGGAAACACGAGGAAGCTATCGAGTGACCAGCCCGATCGAGAAACAAGTTTAGAGATGGGATCACTCGACAGCCGAGGTTGCGAAAACGAGTTAATAGGAAAAATGGCACCCGTTGAGGGACTGCCGGGAGCTCATCTCTCGAAATGTATAAGAGACCCCCTTCGGCCTCCTGTGCAAGGACGGATTTCTTACGAGACAGCTAGACCAGAGCTCGTCTTCCCTGAGATCGCAGACAAAGACCTAACCAAGACATATCTGCCAATAACGATGAAGTCGTTCACTCTCCTTGCCTCGGCGGCCCTCACCGCCTTGGCGTCGCTACCATTGGCCACAGGCGCCAGCATCCCTTCATACCTTGAGATGCACCACACGTCCCGGCGCGAGCTCTCGCACGCCCAGGTCCAGGCGGAGCTGGGCCCGCTGCTCTCCCGCAACGCGACCATCATCGGGCCGGGCGGGCCAGGGTGAGACGAGGCGTCGGAGCGGTACGACGTCGAGTCGCTCCCCGACGTCCGCCTGGTCGTGGTCCCCGGCGCCGAGTCCGACATCAGCACCATCGTGAAGCTCGCCAACGCGCTCGGGATCCCCTTCATGGTTAAGAGCCGCGGTCACGCCCCGACGGACACGGTGGGGCGCTTCCGGGGCATCCAGATCGACATGTCCAAGCTCCAGCGCATCACGATCCAGCCCGGCGGCGGCAGCAACACGACGGAGACGGCCTGGTTCCAGGGCGGCACGTACGACAAGTAGGTCATTGACTACCTCTGAGACCGCGGCTACGTCACCGTCACCGGCAGCTGCGACTGCGTGGGGATGATGGGGCCCGGCCTCGGGGGGCGGATATGGGCGCTACCAGGGGCTGTACGGGCACATCAGCGACAACCTCGTGAACCTCAACGTGGTTCTGGCCAACGGCTCGGCCACTAGGGTCAACGCAACTAGCCATCCCGACCTGTGGTGGTAATGAAGGACTCCATCCAGCAGACGACGTCGCGATTTGGTGACCAAGTAGAAACTAACTCGAGCTGGCAAAGAATATAGGGGCATGCAAGGTGCCGGCCACAACTTTGGCATCGTGACCAGCTTCCAGTCCAAAATTTACCCAAAGAAGGTCGATACTTGGCACTACCATTCATACATCTTTACCCAGGACAAGCTCGAGAGCCTTTTCGAGGCCCTCAACGTGCTCCATGGCCACGGAGACGGTTCCACTCCAGCTTTGATGACCGCGAACTTTGGCATGTTCCAAACGGTTCCGTCCATCAGCCAGGCCGAGGTAGGCTGGCCCCAAGGGAGGGATTGGTCCTTCAAGAACAGGGAAGTAATCTCAAGCTGACCAACACATCTCGTCAATCAGCCCGCCATCACCTGGGTCTTTGGCTACGCCGGGCCCGCCGCCGAGGCCGAGGCGCTGCTGGAGCCCTACAACCGCCTCGGCCCGGCGGCGCAGGAGAGCGGCGACATGCCGTACCCGCAGGTGGCCCCGGCCATGGGCTCGGGCATGGACCAGCCCATCTGCGAGCCCGGCCACGCGCACGTGCAGTCGACGCCCCCGTTCGACGCCTACAACGTCACGGCCGAGCGCGAGCTCTACGGCCTGCTGGCCCGCACCTTTGCGCGGCACCCGCAGCTGGCCGCCGGCGCCTTTGCCCCTGCACGAGGGGTACTCGACCGCGGCCGTGGACGGGGTGGACCCGGACGCGTCCGCGGTCGCCTTCCGCCGCCGCAAGCTGCTCATGCTCTTCGAGACGCGCCTGCCGCTGTCCGACGCCACGCCCGAGAACCTGCGGCTGGCGAGGGAGCTCGTGAGGGAGGCGCGTGAGGTCTGGAACGCGGGCGCGCCGGGGCTGAAGCCGGCCAGCTACGTCAACTACGCCAACGGCGACGAGCCACTAGAGCCCATGTACGGCTACGAGCCCTGGCGGCTCCAGCGCCTGCGTGCGCTCAAGCGCCAGTACGATCCGCATGGCCGGTTTAGCTACTACAACCCTATTCCTTCCCAGTGATTTAGCTGGGAGGGTAGCTGGGAGGTAATGGGCTAGAGGCTCCCATGTGCTCTCGGACTTTTTCTTCTTCTTTCACTTCTTATCGCTCTTTTCGTCTATGGGAACTTCCCAACTCCCGCGACGCCTAAACACACGTACACCACTCTGCTCTTTGTTATATAGAAACCAGAGACGGGATAGGGGGTTCATGATGCACACAAATGACATGAACTTTATAGCCGATCATTTACATGCTGAATCCAAACCGTATCCTTGCAAAGGCCTACGCCTGGAATTTCGGTCTACTTCTTTTGTCAGGCGCCTAGAAAGACGAGCTGAACGACATCCCCACGCTCGGTGACGCAGCACGTGGGTGAGCGAGGGAAATGATACCTAGGGCTTTGGTGTGCCCTTAATTATCTCATTTGTTGTGTTGCTACCGCCGACCGGCTTTCCTCTCTTCTTATTATTTACTTTCTCTGCTGAATCATTTCCATCACTGCGTTGATGGGCTGTTGTTCAAACGCAACCTGGAAAACAGCCGCGACGTCCTTAAACTTCCCCTTGTAGCCCTCCTAGTCTCCCATCCATGTCTATTCCAGAGACTCCCGAGAATATGAGAGCAAACGCCAATCTATCTTTCAGATAGTCATAAATAACGACCCAGTTCCAGTTTAAATGACGGCTTCCAGGTTTGGGCCAAGCTTTGTTTGGCTCGCCTAGCCCAAGCAAATCTCACGATCTAGTCTTCAGCTGGACGTTCCCAAGTGGCATAGGCCCCAGCAGAGCTTCCCAAGGCCATGTCCATGCCCTGTGCATGTCCTTCTGGGCGCTTCCTTCAGTGCGAGACAAGCAGACCAGGATCAGGACGAGACGGACTCTGATGGAGAGATCAGAACAACACTATCGCCTAGTTCACAAACCCAACATCAGAAAACCGCAAGAAGGCTACCAACTGACATTGAACTTACCTCGAACAAACAACATCTCGAGTTTGCGCGAAACGGTCTAGTAGAATATTAGTTCGATGCTATGGTCACGGTTTGACTGTCTCTTTAGACACTAACCTTCAGATCTGCCTCATCCTCCTCGTCTTGCATGTAGTGCGTCTCCTCGACATCGCCGAGGACGAGGTTGCAATGTGAATCATAGGCCTTGGATGCAGCATGTTATCAGCCCCGAGTTGGCCTGAGAAACTCTCACCGTACATCCATCAACCCTTGCTATCGGGGTGACGCCCCCCACACCCTGGCCAAACTCACATGTAGCCTGCCCTTGAGCTCTCTGTCTCCACGGAGCTTGACGAACACGACCTCGTCCAGCAGGAGCCTCACGAGGCCGAAAGGCTCATTGCCCTGACCTTCGCCCGAGTCCGCCATGGTTTTGGGTCACAGATGCTTTATCCGATTTGGCGGGGTTGTGTGCGATGGGCCAAGTCTTCCTGTGGTGGCTGGCTTGGTTTGTGACGTCGGCGTCGGTGCGATCAATTGCGTGACGTTCAATCGTCGCTGGCGAAATTTCCTTGTCGTCGGGGTGCTGATTGTACGGCGCGCAGCCTGACAGCTGATTGCCAGTTGGCATAGAATTCACTTCGCACGGGCCACCTAATGGCTTTGAACGAGATCCAATTCGATCCCCGCTGTGCGTGCGTGCGTGCGGGGAACCCAGCTCACTTCAGGGGCAGCCGCAGGGATGAACTGTGCCTAACCCCAACTGCACGGGAGCAAGCAAAGAGACTCGGGTCACATCATTGAGGTAAAACCATGCTGCAACCCAAATCGGCAGGATGTGCCTCAGGTGGTGCGCCATGGACGGTCCGCAAAAACCCTCGCGCTTCCTCCTCGCGCTTCCTCCTCGCGCCGCGGTCCGTTCAATAGCTGCCATCTACCACTCCCGAACGCCAGCAGCCGTCGCCGCCCTCATACCCCGTACCATACCTCGTGCGCCCTCTCCACTACCGCCCGCTCCGCTTCTCCCGCCATGAGCCCGACTCCTCGGCTGGCCTGAGCGAGCATGACTCTGGCGCCCGCTCCCGCGGTGGGGATTTCTGGGCCCTCCCGCCTCCTTCACAACCCACCATGGGCCGCGACGGCGCCCTCGCGAGCACTGAGGCTCAGCCTCGGCTATCGGAATCGAGCTTCACAACAGGTCCGACGCGCATCTCACGTCCCCGGCCGTGACAACGATGGTGCCGTCCTCGGCGCGCGGCTCGTCGCGAACGCGGGCCTCTCCGGAGGGAAAGCGTTGGATGGGGCGTTTATTCAGGCCGTGCTCGGCCAGCAACTCCCAGGCCGCCTGCGACAACAAGTGAGCCCTCTTGGGGAGGCGGATGCAGCACCGCCGTATACCCATCTCACACCGCGAGCTTCGTCGGAGGAAACATTCGCCGATCGCTTCCGATGCGCGCTACGAGAAGCAGATGTTTCGTGCTTGTGGAAGCTGGTCACTCATGCGGTAGAGCCGGACCAGGAATATGACCCTCTGCCCCGTGTCGTTGGGAGCCTGCCCGCCGACTCCTTTTCCGAACTCCTAAGACTTCTGGACCCCGACAACGTCCAGCGCCAACTCCACGGCGATGGCAATCGACTTTTCATAAGCGCCGGCATGGTCGCAACGACACCGCTAGGCTCGTTGGTGGACGAGTTGGGGAGGAGGCGAACTTATTTGACGCTCTACGAAAGCCTGGGGCGGCTGTGTCGGATCCGACGGGAGGCCGGTGGCAGGCTTATGGCTTCAGACTTCAAGATTCTACTGCGGAGCGCCGGCGCGACGATGGATTTGTACAAGGTGAAGCGCGTCTGAGGCCAGTACCTGCACTCTGTGTCCCATGCCAAGACACCAGATGTAACGACCGAGTACATCAAGGCGAGATTCTTCACCGATCCGCTGTTCTCGCAGTACGACACCTCTCGGTTCCGCGTGTATCCGCTAAACCTCAACAGGAAAAAATTCCTGCTGGGTCGCGTGCGTTTTGGTATGCTCGAGAGGATGCGCCTGCGGACCGCGCGGACACGGCACGACCGATTCGGGCAGAACGCGGCAGCGCACAAGACGGCGGTGCGCATCGACAAGATGCTCTCCAAGGCCGGCCCTCTTAGGAAACTGGCGGATCGCAACGTGAATCAAGGGTACCTCGAGGAGGAGCAGGCCTGCGCCTTGCTAGTCGCCATGTCGCGGACAGCGGCGAACCGGGACAAGACCAGCTTGATCGTCCGAAACTGGGGGGTCATGCCCATGTCTACCATGTCTGGGCTCCCGGCGCAGCTGGTTGAGGACCCGTCGTCGCTGCGCGAGAGGTTCCAACGGCCAGGAGCTCTCGCGGCGCCGACCGAGAAGCTGTTGCTTGCTGTCGTGCGCGCCTACTGCGCCATGGCCGACGTCCCCATGGCGCTCAGCGCGGTCGACACGCTCTCGCGCGTATACAACATCCAAATCCCCGACGGTCTCTGGTTCGAGCTTCTCGAGTGGGTCTACACCCTGTCCAGCTATCCCGCCAAGCAGGAGTGGGAGCTGATGAGTCCCCTGCTCGTCAACAAGGTCATGACGACCGACTCACTTTTGCAGATCTGGGAGGTCATGACGTCTGCGCGGTACAACGTGCAGCCGGGCGTGGCGCAGTACTTCGTCCTGGCAAAGTCCCTGCTTGCCAAGGGGGAGACGGTCGTGGCGGTGGAGCTGATGGAGAAGATGGTCGAGCAGTACGACGCCCGGCTCGGGGAGCTCGAGACGGCCGCCGCCGAGGCCGCGCACGCAAAGGCCCTCGGGCTGGACCAGGCCCGGTCGAGGCGCAGGTACCACGAGGCGGTGCTGAGCAAGTGGACGCTGTGGTTCTACGTCCACAGGTGCGCCACCCTGCTGCTCAAGGCGGCCCGGCGCAACGGCGGTGACGAGCACAACGCGTGGGCGGCGACGCGGCTCGTGCCCGACTGCATCGCCGCCTTTGAGCGCTTCCTGCCGCGCGAGGTCGAGTACAAGCTGCCCACGGGGCTCGTGTCCGTCGACCTGCACCGCAAGGTCGGCGCCCAGAGCTACGGGCTCGCGCGCGAGACGTTTGAGGCGCCGCCGACGATACCGGTCCAGTCCACCACGACGTGGTACATGCCCGTGAGCAAGAGGCGGCAGTCCCTTTGGCGGAAGAACAGGGATAAGCCGCGCACGATATCGCGCGACGTCTTTCCCACGAACCTGTCGTCGATATTTGAAGTGCCAGCTCATGCTACGGGGCAGATCGGCTCGAGATGGATCGAGAGGCAGTTCGCCTAAGAGTAGCTACATGGATTGTGAATAGCACCTCTGTAAATATAGAGCTGGGAACAGGCCCGAGGACAGTACCGGATGTGTCCAAAAGACTATACTAGATGTCGGGTATATCGGTAGAAAAAAAAAGAAAAGGAACAAGAATTCAACGCTTTCCAGCACTACATCAAAACATCTTGGCCTACCCGGGAGCAGACGCCATCACTCGACTGTCTCTAGCCTCAGGTCGTTGACGACCATGTACCGGCTGAGAGTGATCCAGCCATATCGGAACCATACCATCTGGCTCAAGTGGGCTTCGGTCATGGCCCTCCAGGCGGTCGCGACGTTGCGTCCGCCTGGTCTGCTATCATGACCGGTGGGAGCACCGCCACCCCCGCTGCCACCACCGAGAGGGTTCATAAAGACCAGCCCCCCTGGGTGCCCGCCCTCGGCCTTGGATGGCGGGCCGCCAGCGGCGAACCCCCAGCTCGTTGCCAGGGTGGCGACGGCATCGAGTATGGATGTGTATTTGCGCAGGAAGGAGACCGAGGTCAGGCTGTAGAGGGCGAGCGTGCCAGATCCGCCTCGGCGCAGCGACGAGACGAAGGCGCGGGCGCCGTGATAGAGCGAGATGTGGTTGGGGTGGGACGAGACGCCCTGGGAGTCAAAAGTGACGAGTATGTCGATGTCGGGGGCGCGGCCAGCGTCAGGGGCAAAGGCCGAGGTCAGCAGGTCCGAGATGGCGGTGGGGTCCCATGTCGTTGTCATGGAGTCCGGGAACGATCTTTGGGAGCGCACGTTGTCGGGTGTTAGCTTAGGGCGACGAGAGTGCGCGGGAATGAGGGAAGGGACGAGGGTTGGGGCAGTGTGCGTACTCGGACTCTATGACGGTGACGTCCTCCTCGTTTCTCAGACCAAGCAGCATCCCGCTCTTGACGAGCTCCTTCTTGCGTGTCTCCCCGAGCCCGTCCGCGTTTCCTGTTGGGTTCCCATGCGGACTGTCAGCGATGCGATGGTAGCCATGACAGCAGGTAGCCAGCTGTGGTGGGACGAACCGCTGCTCAGACACATGATTTTCACATGGTTGCCCGTCTCGGGGCGGGTCAGGGCCAGGACGGTCGGGGAAAAGAACATGGCCTCGTCGTCCGGGTGGGCGATCAGGAGGCAGATACGCTTGTTGCGCGGGGTCGGGAAGCGCGCCGCGGCGAGTGATTGCAGGTACGCGTACATGACGGGCGCCAGTACGACCACGAGGCCTGCGGTCAGGAGCCCGGTCGACATTCCTGCGGGTGCGGTTCTTGTGGTGATTATGGGGGTATTTGCCCAGAGCTGGTGCAGCTGCAAAGAGATGGTGATAGTGTGCGAGAACTGCTTTAGTCTACAGCGGCACCGCCGGCGTCAGAAGCTTGAAACCCACCCAAGCTTCGCCCCTCCACAGTGGATTTGATACGCTGAGCAATTGGCGAATGGGGTCCTTGCACTGGGGCCAGATTGGCGGACCCGGATGGCTGACAGGGGTGAGCTCTGGCGGACCTGAGAGGCTGAATATTTACCCCTGACCAGAACTCAGAACTGATTTCTACGGCGACAGAGCCAACACTTGACAACCAACAAAGAACACAACAAGCATTTCGACATAGATCGCGCGCGAGCCCGACCCCTCGGGCTTTGATCAACACACCCCAAAATGGCACGACAACGCGACGCCGGCGGAAAGATCAAGCTCAAGCAGCCTGACCGGTCCGGACCATCCGAAAAGACGTTGCTGGACATGGCCCAGGAGCGCAACCTGTTCAAAGAGGCCGAGATGAGGCAAAGAGCCAACGATGCGAAGAAGAAGGGTCTGCCGCCGCCCTCGGAGCCCGACGACGACGATGACGGAGAGCTCTCCCCCACCGCCGACCGCATCATGGAGGTCATGATGTGGACCGTCAGCCTATGCATGCTGCACGTCACGCTCGATGTGCTGGTCCAGAACCAGTACGCTGTCGAGCTGTCCTGGTCCAAGATCGCCGCCCGCGCCGGCCAGGGCTTTCTCGGTACGCGTGTCTCGTTTTGCCGTCCCCGGCTTGCTTGGATCAGTTACGGCAGGTCAACTAACGGAGCGGCGACGCAGTCTTCGGTTTCCTCGTCTACGTCCTCCACTCGCACGCCGCGAATCCCGCCCCGTTCCCCCTCATCCCGCAGCGCTTCCAGTCCGGCCTTCGCCAGGCCGTCTTCCTCGCCGCAGGCACCGCGGCGGGCTGCTATCTCATCCACATCACAAACGAGCACGGCTACCTCGCCGTCATGAAGCAGGCGCCGTCTATAGGCTGCCTGTGGGTGTGGGCCATTCTCGAACTGAACCTGTCGCTGTCTGTTCTGAGTCTCGGTGCTTGCTATACGTTCCTTTGGCAGGGCGGATACAGTCTCAAGTAAAGCTATATGACACGATCAACCAGCTCCGCTCCATAAACGAATATCCCGGCCTTTTTGGCTGATCCGCCTATTCATCTCGATCTTGACCTTCTAGTCGGGGAGCCGCGAAACGTCCGAGGCAGCCTGCGGGTGGATAGGGGGTCGTCTGGATCTGCCGCTTCGCTGCTAGAAGACGACGCTCGATGACCGGACAAGGGCGAAGTTGGCTCGACCGGAGACAAAGGCGCTGACGGAGACGGATCCGAGGCCATGGGCACTTGGTCCACTCCGCCCACCCGGCGCTTATGCATGATGCGATACACCAAGTCCTCTAACCGCCGGATTTCGCCTTGCTGTGAAGTGATCATGTCCTCAAGTTTCTTGAAGCTTTCGGTGGCTTTGACCTCACGCCAGTTGGTCCGGCTCTCCAGCTCGCGAATCCGTCTTTGGGGCGCAACAAGTCAACACTAGGCAACATTATTTTGACTGCCGGTCGGTAGCACACGGGATCTGGGACGACTCACGATGCGACCATGCTCATCTGCGTGAAAAGCACTCTGGCGGTCAGGGCGTCCCTCTGCCTCACTAGCTCCAGGGCTTTGGTGCGGACCGAGAGCCAAGCCGTGGCGACGCTGATCTTGGTCCAGTTCCAGGTCCATCTTTTGGGCACAAACGTCCACCCATCTCTGGGATTCACGTGCGCTCCCCGTCCTTTTTCGTCGCCGGCGTCGCTGGTGTCGTCGTCCGCCGTCGCTCTCTCCTCCGTCTCCTTGACGAGCTCGAGCAGGCGCTGCTCGAGCCTGACGAGGTCCTCCATGACGAAGGTGTACATCTGGAACTCGGCGGTGATGCTGTAGCGCCTCCCGCGGCCCGGCCCGTCGAGATCCGCCGCGGCGCGCACCAGGTCCGTCAGCCAGGTCGACTCGGTCTTGTACCACGAGAGCGACGCCTTGACGCGGAAGTACTCGGCGTCGCTATTGCGCAGATATGTGACGCGCACGTAGGCGGCCGCCAGGATGGCCACGACGAAGGTCAAGATGCCCGCCACGTTGGCCGCGATGGACAGCGGCGAGTCGTTATCTTCGTTGGCTACCATGACGAATTTTTATGAGGGCTGGATTTTTTTTTCAGACGGATTACAGTGTTTCTACCCGGTCTGTCTCCTCAACAATCTTATGCATTTCAAGACAGCGTCATCTGCTCTAGTGCCGGGATGGCTTTGTGGGGGGCTGGTCTTGTGGAGAGGCTGGGGGGATGCTTCGAGGTGATTGGCCCATGCTACCAGTACATGCCTCTGAATCCAGGGATCAAATTACTAGTGCGAGAGGGCGGCCTAGAAGACATAGGGACGAAGAAAAAGGATAGAAAATAGAAATAAGAATTGGAGGCTCGAGTCGATCATGCATTCGAGTCCGGCCTTCTTAACGATGGAGACATGAACGTGGTTATCAGCGAAACCTGTACGACTAGGCGATACTCGGTTCCCGTTAGAAGGGCAGGGAATGATGAATTGCTTTAACCGGCGACTTGCACAACGCAGTCACGGAAATCGGCTTGCTGTATTGTTTACTACCTTATGCAGCGGCGAGGTTCAGCAGCTTTTCTTTTTTGGGGCGAATATAAAAAAGCACGGCGATTGAAATCCGGGTGCGTGCGCGCGTGGATGAAATGTGGGTGATGTGAAAACATACATATATAAAAAGCAAAAACTGGCGAGGCAACCTATCGGGTGCCTGGTTACGAAACCAGGAAGGTTTGCTTCGATCCTCTAAATCTTTCCAGGTGAACAGGCATTTTATACCCACGTAGGGGTATCCTGTAGCGACAACACCTGTACTCGAACTCGAGACCTACAGAGACTAGGAATTACAAGTGGGAGCCCGGCTCTTACCAATACCACTAAACCACACCCTGTAGGTCTAATGAGGTTGTTGAAGGACACGCCACGAGCCAGCTAGATAAACGCAGGCCGCCTCGCAGTTTAATTTCTTTGCGAGTGAGCTCTGAGCATTCTGAATTTGTTCCATCCAGCACCCTGAACTGCAGCCGTATCATCAACCTCACGTAGTTCCACGATAATTTATCAAAGGCGAGCAACTCTTCCGACTCCGACTCTCGTTTAACTATTAAGCTCCCTTGCAAGTAAAGCATTCCCGAAACCGCAACGTATTGCAAATTGGTGGCCGCACTATTAATCACGCGACCTGGCCGCTGCCGCTTTGGGCGACTTGGGCCCGACCGGAATAACCATTCGAGGATGGATGCCAGAGTAGACATGACGTATACCTGCCAGAATATAAAAGCACAAGCGCAAGCCCACCAACAGCCGGTGGATGGTGAGAGGAGCATGATTCTTTGCGATACCCCTGTTACTCGTTTCTGTACCCTTGGCCTATGATATTCTCTCTTATAAACACCAGAGCGACTGCGCAAGCTGATGCCCAGCGGCCGCCTCGTCCTCGTCAGCCGCTTCCCGGAAGGACAGCCAAAGGAGTACGCCGAGTCGGGGGCGCGGCTCAGGCGGGCGCCAGAGTACGATGTCACGCTGGCGAAGGCTGTTTTGGGGGTAAAGGGAGAAGGGGGTGGGAGTTTGAGAGTGTCGTACACAAGACTGACAAAGGAAAGAAAGCCACTACAACACAGCACCGGCACGGAAATCGGGAAAAGAACGACCAAGTTGAGGTATAGACACGCGCGTCATTAAATGCAAGCTCTATGTAGATGCTATCAAAGTTCCGCCCCTAAAGACATTACTGATGTTCGATTTTTACCGCCCACCCGATTAACTCCCCCTTACCCAAAGAAATGGGCATGGTATCATTGAGATTTCCAAAGAAGATGGACCCGAGGTTACAAAGAAAAGAGTTTAGCGGCAGGTGCCGAAGGCGGACTGGCAGCCGGCCGAGGCCAGGCAGTGCTCGTCGGTGACGCCGCACCATCCCCACTTGGAGCAGCAGGTGCCCCAGTGGGTTCCGGCGCAGGTGACTGTGCCGCCGCACGTGCCGTCGGTGGAGGGGGTCATGCCGCCGCCGTTGCCGCCGCCGTTACCACCGCCGTTGCCGCCGCCGTTGCCGTCGGCGGCGCGGTACCAGTTCTCGGCCGGGTCGCCGAGGCACTCGCCGACGGTGACGAAGCGCAGGCCGCGGTTCCTCGAGGTCTCGAGCATGTAGCGGGCCAGGCGGTCGACGGTGACGGCGTGGATGTCGTGGGCCAGGACGATGTGGCCCGGGTTGCCGTTGACGCCGGCCGAGAACTTGGCCTCGGCCTGGGCGATGTCGTCCTGGTGGCGCCAGTCGTCCGTGTCGACGGACCAGTTGATGATATGGTAGCCGAGCTCGGCCAGGTGGTTCTGGCAGTTGCCGTCGCAGTTGCCGAAGGGAGGGCGGATGTAGGTCGGGAACTTCCCGGCCACGTTGGCCATGGCCGACTCGGTCAGGAGCACCGTCCTGGCGCGCTCCTCGCGGGTGGCGGCCGACAGGTCCTCGTGACGCCACGTGTGCGAGGCAACCTGGTGGCCCTCGGCCAGGGTGCGGCGCACCAGCGACGAGCCGGGCTCAGACTCGATGGGGCTGACGTTGTTGGCCGTGACGAAGAAGGTGGCCTTGGCGCCGAACTCCCTGAGGAGGTCCAGGAGCTGGCTAGTCTTGGGGCCCGGGCCATCGTCAAAGGTGAGGGCAATGACGTTGGACTGCGTGCAACGGGTGATGACGGAGCCTGGAGAGGGTTGTGTGTTAGTGTTATCAGGAATAGATAAAGGGGGTTGAAGGGAAGACCATCATCTCCAAGACTCGGCTCTCATCCGACGATGCTTGAGAAGGCTTGTGCGAGGGGTATAAACCACTAACCATACGGGACGTTGCCGATCTTGGGCCTAGGCACGTTGACGGTCTGTCTCTCATCGGCACGGCTAGCGGAATAAGAAATTTAGCACAAGGACCGGCGAGTCGGATGTGTGTTGTACACGGAGGTGGCACTTGGCTAGGCGCCAAGACGGACAGAACGAAAAGGGATTCTAGAAGGAACATACGGCTCAAGGGCCAGATCCCGGGTGTGGGAACCGGCAGGGTGCGCCAGCGTCATGGACGCGGCTCCGAGAAGGGCGGTAAAGGCCGAGTACTTCATCTTGAGTGTAACGATGTGGTGTTGTTGAGTGCGCCAAGGAAGCGATCGATCGTTGACACAAACACGTCCGAACGTTGCGGGGACGCTTCACTAACGAAAATCTGTCTCTACAAGACCCGAGAACGGGGAGAGGCTAAGATATCGAAGGTGGGAAGGGAGGGGGAGCGAGTGAGGGAGAGCGAGCGACGGGTGGTGAGGAGACCAACATCAAGCCCGTCTCGAGGGAGATGCCCAGTCCCCTTTTGTACCCCATCGTCAGCCTCCCCCCGCGGCCTAGGACCGGGCGCATGGCTCATGATTGCCCATGGGCATCCACCAGGGAGGTCAGATCTCAGTAGATGATTGCCGGCGGAGAAAGGAGCAAGAAAAAAAACGCCCTAGCCCTATTCGCTCAACGGGTTAGCAGGGGGTGTGGCGATAACTGCCACACCCGGATCAAAAAAAAACGGGACACTTTTCAGTTGGTACCATCTGCGAGGGAAAGAAAGAGGAAAAACCCACCCAGTAACAGGGGGGTTGAAACTGGAGATCGCAGGGGCCGTGGTGACTTGGTGGGATGTCACGAGACTTCAAGAATTTCTCGATTTCTCTCCTTCTTTTACCAACTTCAATAATGGCAGTGACTTTATGCCAGCACGTGACCCCCCTTTCGCGCCCCTGTGATCTCCGAACCCCCTGTTGGGAGGTGGGTTTTTCCTCTTTCTTTCCCTCGCAGATGGTAGTGGTATGCACTGGGGCAAAAATTGAAAAGTGTCTCGTTTTTTTGATCCGGGCGTGACTGCCTACATGGGGTTGGTGTCAGGCGGTCTGGGGTGAGAAAGGCTGTCGCTACCGGAGACGTGGTGGGAAGCCCCCGTATCATCTCTTCCATCGCCCCGATCCGATGGCGCCCTAGCAGTGGGCTTCCCGCTGCCCGCGGCGCGGCCAGACAGTCCTGGTCAGGTCCCAGCATGCGGGTAGCATGCTGATTTTGCTCGTCCAGACCGACCCTGCCCCATCTAACCCCCTAGGTATTGTTTCTTCATCTTACTTTCACTTTCTTCTTCTGTTCTTCCTTATCTTTCTCCACCCTTTCGATTCCATCAGGCGCTGCCTGACTGGTGGAGCCCATGGGCAGACGAGATATGCCACGGGATTCTAGATGGGCTATGGTTGCCTGGCAGATGCTAGACATATTTCCAGCCGCACCAGTCCAAGTCATCTCGCCGTGGCGGCCCTGCAGGTGGCCGTCGGTTGGCGGGGCTCGGCGAGCTGAGCATAGCCCGGCGAGTTGCGACTGGGCAGGTGAGTATGCCGGCCGCAGGAAGTGTGTGCAGAGAATGCCCCTCTTCTCCTGCCGTGGGGAGTGAGTTGTCCCATGCAGACTGCATGTGCCAGGCCGCATCCCATGGCGCCGGGCATCAGCACAGCGCAGAGGACTGGAGCATGCAGCAGGCGCCAGAGCTGGATACGAGGTTTTGTGCCGAGAGAACAGCCAGCAGTAGGGCTTGGCAGAGGTCAATGGAGTCGGAGCCCGCAGAGGTGGCGCCGAGATGCTAAAGAATGACCCGCAAGTCGCAGCCTTGGCGGGCCGAAAGGGTTAGGCGACTCTGGCCTGCAGGGAGCGTTGTGCGTGGGGTGGTACCTAGGAGGAGCCGTCTCATGGAACCCACGCTCCTCTCTTTTCCCTTTTTCGTGCAAGGGAGACTTGGTCGTTGAGTGTGGTCCCAGCCTGACGCCGTAGCTCCCGAGAGAGGCCCCCTTGCAGCCCCTCGCCCGAGCGGGTTCCACACTTAAGCTTGCTCCACATCGAAATGCGCCGCTCAGCTGCTGTGCGGAAGCTGTATTGCGCGAACCGGACCGCTAGACTTGCCGAAAGGAGGGGGGTTGCAGACAGTAGAAAACAGGAAACTGAAGCACACGCTAGTATTTTGCGCTGTTCTCCAGCTTTCATGCTTGTTTTCTTGTTTCCCGCAGCGGACACATGATTGATGGCGCTTCTCAGCCCGCACACTTGGCTCCTTCGGGTCAGCTGCTCAGCCACTCTGACGCAAACACTAGTCATAGTGGCCGTTGTTTGGTTCACGGTTGGGCTGAGGATTGCGCGAACGGAAAAATTCGATGTATCCATGTACTCCGCTTTTGTTGGATCATGGCGCCAGACGCTACCAAAATTGGCCTCACATTAGATTTGGTTCGCGGGCGAAATCGACAGCGGAGAGAAGTCAACCGTATCGGCCTGATCAATGGAGCGCACTGAGCACCTAGGGGGCACCACTTGAGGCGGCCGAAACGGGAGCCCACCTCTCCGAAAGAGACCCTGAAGGTTGGTGGTTCCTTCCCACAATGTCCCAAAGCGGCGACTTGTTTACAAAACCAGACGACCAACTGACTCAACAGTGAAAGGAGAACATCTTGGCGTTTGGTGATGCATTGTCGTCGACTTTAATTGAGTTTGATTGCAGGTGTTGACTGCGACGGTCGCATTAACGCTCGTTTCTCGGGAGCCTCTGGTTTACTACAGTAGACGCGGCCACGGCGATCCCCCAAGCGACTTGCCAGCGCGAAAAGGCACCGACTGCCATCCGCCAAGACCCCAGACCCACAGGCCGCGCTTGGCACACTGGGCCGCCAAGATGAAGGTGCGTATAGATACGCACTCTTAGCACTTTTTATGCGGCCAGGCACGAGCGCAACATCGGAGTGTTTGGGAGCTTGGGCAGTGCGGCAGCCAAGATGGCCCCTTTTTCTTTTTAATTCCTTTCGGGCTAGCCGCGCGAGGCGAGCATCGCCACGAGACCACTATTCAACGAACCACCAAATCTCGTCCATCACGGCTCGTCAAGGTTGCGGGCGAGGGGGAGCAGGGAGTCGAGAAAAAGCAAGAAAGAAAAGAAAACACGAGGAGGACAGGCAGGAAGGATCGCGAGCATGATCAAAAGCAGCTTGAGGCCCACAGAGAAAAGACAGGGCGGCCATAATATTACGCCGAACAACTGCCAGCTTATGCCTCGCCTAGGCTTCCGACCGGCAATCGAACCCTAGTTAGATTCCAGTGACGGTACGGGGACCCGGCATGAGTCCTCTTGTGACGAGGAATGATGACGGATGGAAGGCTGACTGCCGAAGTTCTGCTGCCCAGTGTGCCAGGTTGGCAAGACACTCGTTCTTCCACCTCACGCCCACCAACAACACACTACAGCCCTGCTCGTATGCACCTAGCATGCGGCCGGCTCCTACAATACCACGGTATGACATCACATCAGCCTTCTCTGCCTAGTTTTCAGCCTCGGCTAAGCAGCTCACCGCCCTTGCCTCTGCACTTAGTGGTGTGTTGGTGGTGTTGGCGCTATGGGTACAGCTGCTGCTGCAGCTATTGACGCTGCAGGTTTCTGCGCAATGATGCGGTAGCTTGTAGTTGCCAGGCGCCTCTTGTCCATCTCGACAAAAGCCTGCCCGTCGAGGCACAGCCGGTTTATCAACTTCTTGAGGTGCGGCGGCAGCACCCTGGCGCGGACGAGGCCCAGGACCAACATGCGCAGCGACCTGAAGTACACGTCAACTTTGTCGATCAGCGGCGCCTGCAGGCCGTCGAGGCTCGCGTTGTCGGAGCGCACCACCTCGAACCCGGCCCCGCGCAGCGCCGCCTCGAGGCTGGCCGGCGTCGGCGTGCCCACGGCCCCGATCAGCGGCTTGACGCGCCGCATCAACTCGGCGTGTTCCGGGTCCTCCGCGTCGTAGGCCGGCAGGCTAACCCAGTCGAGGATGGACAGCCGCGCCCCCGGCCGCAGCACCCGATGCAGCTCGGCGAACAGCCGCCCGTGGTCGCGGCACAGGCTGAGCGCCTGGATCTGGTAAAAGCCGTCCATGGAGCCGTTGGCGAAGGGCAGGGGCAGGTCGTTGAAGTCGCGCTCGACGAAGTTGTTGGGCAGCCCCAATTCCTCCCCGTTGAAGGCCCGAGCCTGCGCGAGCTGGTCCGGGTCGATGTTGAGCCCCGTCACGCGCACCCCCGGCACCAGCGTCGCCATGTGCGCCGCGACGCGCCCGCGCCCGCAGCCGAGGTCGAGGACGCGGTCGCCCGGCTTGAGCCCCAGGTCCCGCGCGACCGACTCCTCGTACGCGAGCTGGTTGCCCCGCACCGACAGGGCCGCGTCCATGAGCGGCGGTATGTACATCTTCTCGACGTCGCCCAGGGCGCACAGGTGGTTGAGCACGCCGTAGTAGGCCCGCAGGCTGTCGCCGACGCGGCGCTGGAAGTCCGGGCCCAGCGTGCGCCGCATGGCGTCCTCGTCGGACCAGTCGAGGCCGTATATCACGTACGAGTCCATAAAGGCGTCCACCTGCGCCTTGTCCAGCTTGTACAGCTCGCGCATCGCCCGCCAGAACGTCTTGGCCCGGCTCGTTGACGCCGACGTGTCCCCTCGGCCCGCCGCCGTCACGCCGGCATCGTGGCTTGCGCGCTCCGACTCGGGCTTGCTACGGTCTGCACTAGGGGCCGGCGTGGCCTCGGCACCTGCGGTGGCGTTGGCAGCGGTGGCGGGCTTAGGCTTGCGAAGGCGAAACAGGCTCTTGCGCTTCTGCTGCTTCACGCCGCCCCGCTTCTCGTTGAAGTCTAGTGCTTCGCTGGATGTGCCTGAAGAGGTGCTATCGCGCGCATCCGGGTCCGCAGGAGCGGTCGGTAGTACCGGCGACGCTATTGCTGGAGCCATTGGATTGCGGCCTGACGCGATGGTGTCTTGTCTCTCTATCTCTTTCCGCAATTCTCTTTGCCTCGTCAAGTGCGAGATGTGCGATGCTCAGTTAGTGTGCGGACTGAAAGCGACGCAGCTAGGAGGTCGCGACGGTGGGCGAAATAAGTATGCGGCAAACATGTGTGAGGGAGGTGGGCAGCGTTTTGTTCGCGGACCCTGATCGACGTTCCGGGCCTTCCGATCTCTCTGTTCGTTTTCCCGTTTCCTCTCGGTAATAAGTTTGTGTTAGCTTCGGGAGCAAACCGGCTTAACCTGTGTGGGCTCGATGCGGCAGCGTTGATAAGCGAGCACCCACGCTCGGGTGATTCGTCGCGCACGCTTGCCTGGTGGCTGTCACGCCGCTCCCGCACTCACTTTTACGTGATTTTCACTTGATGGCAGGTCAACAAAGGGTACACGGACCGGAGCGCGAAGATTGACAAGCAAGGCATTCAAACAGAGCACGGTAGTATTCATCACCCGGGTGCCATGTATGAGGTAACAGTCCCTTTTGGTTCGGCTGTTACCAGACCAGCCGGTGCTGGCCGATGCCGGGCATGGACTGCCATGTTCATGGTCGAGCACGACCGCACGATGATGAAAGAGGCACTCCAGTGGTTCATGCTGGCCACTTGTTACGGTGGGGGGAGACAGGAGAGAACAAGGAAAAGGAGGGGCTTGCCCGATGCTCCCAGCAGTGATGCTGTCTGGCCGCCATTGGCGGCGATGTTAGCTGCGCGGGCTTTCGGGCTAAAGATTGCGAGTAGGGAACAACACAGCGAAGCCCATGCGGAGCCAATGCTAGCCCATTTGGTCCATCCCCACACGCCATCCCCCAACAGGCCGTAAGCACACCACTGCGGCCAAGCTATAATTGCTCAAGAACCGGGGGGCTCCGGCGAACGAAGGTCGGAGCTTCGGTTTTTGCGGCCTCCGACAACCGGAATTGGTGGGCGGGAGATGATCACGACACCAAAGGTGCAGGGGGGGACGAAGGTCATGACACCACGCGCGCCAGCCAAGCATGGGCCAATGTGGATTTATGACTCCTTTTGCTTGTTTAGGTGTCACGGGGTGGTGTCAATAATCAACATTTGCGCCGTGGGGCTTTCCGTGCATGATGGATGGGTGACCGATGCAGCCCTCATGCGGTGGTCTCAGCTTTCATATCGACCTGGAGGTGACTCTGCATCTTGCAGCAGCATCCCGCGCGCGCGGGACACGGCAGCTTGTGGCCGACCACCTACCCACCTAGTTGCAGAGAGTTGTCGGGGTGAGCTTGGACCCGCCCACTCAATCTCCACGCTCCCACCCCGCCGCTCACGTCGCGCAGCAGATGCTCATCCCCGCTCCCTGCCGCTGCCCGCCATCGCCCGCCTGCCGCCCTGGACGCAGTCCGCCGTTGCGGGTCGATGCGCTGTCGGTGTCCGCCAAAGATGCCGCCCTCTCCTGCTGGCGCCGGTGGGGGTTGTTCAGCCTTGGCCACAGGCGGCCTCGGATGCCGAGGCTGCAGCACGGGCGCAGCCCGGGGGATTATGTTGGCCAAGCCCGGCTCCAGGGTCGAGATGGCCGTCTTGGCAAGAGTGGTTGCTGCAGTGCGCTACTGATAGGAGGAGGCAGATTTACCCCGGGTTAAAGATAAGTCTGGGGTAAACGAAGGGACCAATAAACAGCTTCAACTAGGTAGTTGACAGTCAACGGACAAGTCTAAATGTGAGCCATCTGTGAAAAAAATTCAAGGAGGTGGGGTGTCAGCGTCCCTACCTAGATAGGTACGTGGCCCTTCGCTCGATGTGCAGCTCAAAGTGCGTACCCCATCGGTACTGACCCGACCCGTAGCTGGTAGACCCCAGGCATCTGATGCGCTCAGACCCCGATCGTGATGATGCCGGACCCGCCGCCGCCGCCGGGTCGGCGAACCAGTCCTGCGCTCGCCTGTCCGAGTCCAACGGCTCTAGCCGGGACATGCCCGTATCGTTTAGGCCACTAGGTTTATTTCCTTTTCTTTTCTTTTTGTGCCGTCCCAGCTTGACTGTAGCATTTATAGCAAAAGTCCGGCATTAATATCTCGAGCCACGAGCATTACCTTCACCATGTTTGACTTTCTTCATCGCTTGCCGGTCCCCCGCGCGCAGGTTTCGTGCATAGTCTTTAGCGATTGCGAGGCGTGGAGTTGGCATGTCCTTGCAAGAAGGTCGAACGACGGTGCCCTGCGCGATAGCTACCGTACTCTAGAGAGAGCTCCACGTAACATGGTTATGCCGAACCATGACAAAAACGGATAGGGTCTTTTCCATGATACTAAAGGTACACAGCACAGACCGTTCTAGCGCCTTCGAGAACATTTCCCCGCCTGGCCTAGCACCCTTTTTTTTCTTTTCGTTTCTTTGGTTCAATGTTGTCGCCCGTCCCCTGGCCTCGGATCTCTCCCAGTCGGAATTGTGGCTTCGTTTTTAGGGATATGGTAAGAGAGTAACCATTAGGAGCTTTGTGGCTTTTGAGAATTACTGATGCAGCTATCTGGGACCTCGCCTCTGGAAACTGAAGAGACTTAGAGCGAGTGCGGGGAGGGATCCGGGAGCATCCATCAACTCGTGCATACAACGGAACATCAGTATGCGGAGGCCATAAATGTCGACGCTGGATGCTACTGGATTTAATTGATATTTATCGGCCAAGGATACATGTATTCTATGTTTCTGGATCTGAAGAAGTATGCCGCAATTCATACACTTGGAAACGGCTTTGTAGCGAGCTCCCCCATATCTCGTTGCGTACAAACTGCAACCATTCAGCACACCGACGTACTCCCCAACGCCCGAGACGGGCAAAAACGCACACGGCCAGCTCAGAGCTTTGCCTTGCCAGAGTTCAGCGAGCTCCAGTCGTCCCGGGTAAAGGGCACGTAGGTCTGGCCCTTGCCCAGGCCCTCGATCCACCAGATCTCGTCGCCAGCCTTGACCTTGTCCGGGTCGACGCCCTCTTGCTTGAGCGGCATCTTGTTCTGCTTGTTGTTGTGCGACGCCGAGATGACGGCGATGTGGCGCAGGAAGATGGGCACTGCGTACTTTGGCAGGTGCTGCCGCGCGTGCGCCAGGAGGCCGGCGTAGTCGAACGACGCCCGCTTGGCCGGCTCCACGTAGACGGCCGCCGCCCCGGCCCGGCCGTCGTGCCCGGGGAGCTGCACGCCGTACACGTTGGCCTCGACGATGCCAGGGAACTTGCCCAGCACTTCGCCCACCTCGGCCGTCGACACGTTTTCGCCCTTCCAGCGGAAGGTGTCGCCAAGGCTACAGGGCGAGCACTAGTTAGCACGCTAGAGCCAAAGGAATAAACCGAGCGGGGAAGAAAAAGGCTTACCGGTCCATAAAGTACCATCTCCCGTCCGGGTCACGCCGCAGCGCATCCCCAGTGCGGAAAAAGCAGTCTCCCTTCGCAAACACATCCCGGACGTACTTCTTCTCGGTCGCCTCGGGGTTGTTGAAGTAGCCGGCAAACGTCCTCTCCCCCGGAACCCGGATGAGGATCTCGCCGCCATCCTCGTAGGGCACGCGGTACGCGAACCCAGTCTTGGGGTGCCTCGCGATCTCGCCCGTCTCGGTGTCGATGGCGACGGGCACGTAGGCGTTGTGGTACCTCCAGCGGTTGATGAGGCCGTGGTGGCCGACCGAGTGGGCCAAAAAGTCGCCGCGGCAGGGGTTGTCGAGCGGGAACATGCCCTCGGTGCTGTTGAAGAACTCAAAGATGCACTCGATGCCGAACCGGTCGCGGAACCGCTTCCACACGTCGGGCCGCAGGCCGTTGCCGTATATGGTGTGCACGCTGTGCTCCCTGTCGCGCGGCGACTCGGGCGCCGCCAGCAGGTAGCGCAGCGTCTCGCCCACGTAGACAAAGTACGTGGCCCGCGACTCGCGCACCTCGTCCCAGAAGCGCGAGACGCTGAACTTGGGCGACACACACACCGTCGTGCCGTTCATGACCTGCGTCATCATGCTGATGCCGCCCGTGCCGTGGTAGTAGGGCATGCAGTCGTAGTAGCGCTCGCCCGGCCGGTCCACGTGGTTGGTGCCCGCCATGGACGCGACCCCGTTGGAGAAGGCGGCCGCCATGGGGAACACGCAGGCCTTGGGCAGGCCCGTCGTGCCGCTCGTGTAGAACAGCCCAAACGGCCAGCTGGGCTTGACACCGGCCCGGTGCTCGTCGCCGGGCCTGATGGGCTCCGTGGCGAAGATCTCGGCCCGCACGTCGTCCAGCCTCACGATGCGCATCCCCATGTCGTCCAGCTCGGGCTGGATGTCCGTCATGTTCTTCTCCGTGGCCGGCGGGACGTCCAGCACCATCAGCTTGGCAGTGCTGAGCTTGAGGCAGTGCACCAGCGGCTTGGACGCCAGATTGTGGTTGATCATGGCCGGCGCCGCGCCGATCGAGGTGAGAGCCGCCCAGACCATGACGAACTCGGGCGAGTTGCCCATGAAGATGGCCACCAGGTCCTGCTGCTTGACGCCCTGCGCCAGGAACCACTGGGCGAACTGGTTGACGCGGTCATAGAATGCCTTCCACGTGTAGCAGCCCGCCCGGGACCAAATAGCCTCGTCATCGGGCTTCTGTCTGACAACCTCCTCGATCAGGTAGTAGGGAGAAAGTCGGTCCGCCTTGACTGGGGAGCGCAGTCGGGAAACAGATGTTAGAGTTGATCAACCGACCGTTCGAGACACATTCCTGCGTCCCCAGGACAAGAACTTACGGGCCTGCTCGAGGTATTTAACCTGCCTCCGACGACCGAGTATGACGCGGAGGTCCTTGCGGATGTTGAACTTGGCGTCCAAATAGGCGAGGCCAGCCGTAGTTGCGGCGGCGCCCGCGACAGCCGCAGCATCTGGACAAAGAGCACGGGTGAGTCAATGTATTTTGCGTGGTTGAGGCACCGGAGAGGATTCCTTACTGAGAGCCATCGCGTTGGTAGGGAGTGTCGGCACGTGGCTTGTTTTGTTCTGCGACGTACAGACACGACACGGTGACGATGGAAGCGCCTGGTGGAGTCGCCCGAGGCTTGCTTCTCTGCCTTACAATGGATTACAATTCGTACAACAGTAGACGGCTAGAGAAGTGAAGATGCACCGGCAATGTACAGCTATCAAGACACGCAAGCAGAGAGAAAGCCTTGCTTGTATTAAAGGCGCGTCGTCCGAACTCTATAAAGAGCCTCCTCCTCGTCTCTCCCCTGGCCCAAGAGGTTGGCGAGGCCAAAAGGGGACCAATGCGACATGCGCGGCAGGCGGGGCCCTGACTTACCCGAGCTGCCGCCCCTGGCCCCTGGGGTCGGGTAAAGGTGTCGGCATGTCGAGGTTGGCTGGGGTATGGCAATATGGGGAGAATTCCTCAATGGGCATTGAATCGGCAAATCCACTGGCCATTCAATCTCCCGCAAAGCCGTCTGAACCTAGCCCTAGCCGGCGCCGGCGCCGGCGAGCTTTGATGCAAGAACTGGCCGACGGTGACGGGTGCCGTACTTTTCAGAGCGATAGCTTCCATCTCAAACTTCGATTTGGTTGTATTTCAGTTCGCTGTTCAGCCCACTGTGCCGACCAAAATGCGGCCATGTAGGCCGACCGCCGCTGCCCCAATCAACCAAACGTCCCCTCGCCAAGCTTTGGCCAGATGTGGCGAACCTACCAGCTTGTGGCTGCGCAGTGTGCGGCTGGCAGCTTCCTTTGTCGGCTCCAACCATCCGACTTTGCCGATGCGCTGGATTAGGTAATCCACAAGCCACCTGAGGCGCTGCAAGGATGCTGGTGCGCCACTCAGGGTCGCAAGCCCTAAGGCTGGGGAAAATGGACCTCACCTTTGACCCCTCAAACTGGCGAGGAAAAAAAAGACGAGGCTACTTTGGACTTGCTTGCACCCAGCCAGACAACATCGCCGCCCACCGCCAACTCCACGACAGCTCCTCCCATCTCTCCTTTACCCCCAAAACAACCGCAAAAATGCCTGGCGGAGTCTCTGTTCGCGACGTTGATGTAGGTCGTTCTGATCTCCCTTAGCCAGCCGCCACACGAAAAATGCACCTCGAAATCTCAGACCTTGCGACTCGAAATCCTCCGCCTCCTTCCCATCGATACCGACCGCTTGCCACCGCCGTTGAGAACACGATTCGAACTGTCTAGCGGCAGCCCTCGATCGCCGGGTACCAGTGGCAGTGGGAACAGAGCGAGGATGAGGGCGCACAGGAAAAGACCTCTCAAGATCAGCATAGGCACAAGCATTGGGAGCAGGCGTGAGGGAGTCGAAAGACTTCTGATGACGGAATCTTGCTAATGTGCTGGTCTCTGTTTCTGTGTACAGGCGCACAAGTTCATCAAGGCCTATGCTGCCTTCCTGAAGCGCCAGGGCAAGCTGCCCATTCCCGGTAAGTGACTCTTTCGCCACAGCCACCCTGTCTCGGCTGCCTGAGCATCTCCTGTCCGCTGCGACTTGCGCTGACGTGCCTTGATACTTGCGACGCTTAGGTTGGGTCGACACCGTCAAGACCGGCCCTGCCAAGGAGATGCCTCCCCAGGACATTGACTGGTTCTACGTCCGTGCCGCCTCGGTTGCCCGCCACGTCTACTGCCGCAAGACCGTTGGTGTTGGCCGCCTCCGCAAGGTCCACGGCACTGCCAAGAACCGCGGCAGCCGCCCCTCGCACCACGTTGATGCCTCAGGCAGCGTCGACCGCAAGGTTATGCAGTCGCTGGAGAAGATCGGTATCCTCGAGCAGGATGAGGAGAAGGGTGGCCGCCGCATCACCCAGGCTGGCCAGCGTGATCTGGACCGTACGTTGTCCTTGTTTCGTCTTTTACCCCAATACAAGATGTCTTGTTCCCGTCACACAGCTAACGGCCGCTCACAGGTATCGCCATGACCGTGGCTGAGGCCGAGGAGGAGGAGGAGGAGGAGGAGTAAATTTGCGTCTTCGTCTTCGTCATTTTCTTGGGTTAGGCAAATACGGGTCTACGTTTCTGGCATGATGGGGTTCACGGCGTCTCAAAATGGGGGTTCTCATATGGCATGAACAAATCGTTATTCACTTTCGCCTCGCCTAATCCCAGCTGCGGCGGCCAGCGTATGCTTGCTGACTCTGAAGCCGCGTTGCCACGATTTGGAAAGGACACGCGGTTGAATCTGCCGGCACTCTGAGTGATTACTCGACTTAGGCTCATAGAGTCTATGTGCACGATGCATCCGGCACGGAAACGGCTCTCTCCTGCACACAAATTCCCCGTCTCCGACCCTGATGGGTTGCCAACACCACCTCACTCCCACACTCTTGAGCTCCACCCTTCCACTACGCGGTATTTCGTGTACAGTGTTCTTGGTGGCACCCACCCCGTTACCGTGACTTCAAAACGCGTCGCGTCAGATATCGCGACTCTCAGCCCTACCTCCCACCCCGTCAACCTACCACTAGCCCCACAGCCTGATCAAACGATCATCAGCATACCCGGGTACCTCTACCTACCTGCCTTGGGGCGCCTCCATCGCTCCTTCCTGTTGCGACTTTGGGGCATTCCGCTTCCTTTTTTTCCGGCAATTTACTACAACATCTCACTCTCTTCGCCCCAACCTCACGAACCTGTACCTTGCATCATCACCATTCTGCTAGTTATCTTATCCTCCCATCCCACACTCACCAGCCAGTTGCCGCCCTCCTTTCCGGGCATCATTTTACTGTCCCCCACCCGCCGCATGGTTTCCAGTTCGTGAGCGTCTGTCTCACCCATGGCCGAAAACTCGGCAACTTCTCAGGCCGCCTGGCGAGCTTACCGGAGGCGTGAGCTCCGTCTTGAGACCATCCATCATGCCGTCATCCGCGGTGACCTCGGTCGTGTCCGGCAGCTGCTGTCGGCCGATCCAAAAGTTACCGAGGCCCGAGCAGGTGATGGGAGTACGCCGTTGATGCTCGCGGCTCTGTTTCAGAGGAAGCGTGCGGTCCAGCTTCTGATGAAACACAAAGCCAACACGGCGGCGAAAGATAGCAAGGGCAAAACGGCTATGCAAGTAAGTTCCTCCGGCTACTCCCAATCGTATACATGATCATTTAGAGGGCTAACACCACAAAATTTACAGCACTGCCTGATGAACAGTTACACCGCCAACAAATGGCGCTTGTACTCCGAGGTCTCGGGATGCCGTATCAGAGGCTGCAAAAAGTCAGACTATAAATGGATAGTCGCTGCCCTCAAGTACCAAAACCGACACCAGCACCTCCCACAACCAATCATTCACATATCGTACAAGAGCCATGAAATCCGGTTTTTCGCATCGGTGGGCGAGGGGAAACGGGGCTGTCTCGTACAATCGTCCTCGCGGCGTCACGGCCTGCCCGATCACCTGCTGGAGTTCAATTATACATCCGCGGACGGTCGCTCTCGCCACTTCAAATGCATCCAGGAATTCATCCAGCCAGCGGGCGTAGACTTCCAAAAGCGCTTGACGGTCGTAAGTACCCACATCCCCCCACCTTATTACTATCAATGGGAAACTTGCATGTTTGCTAATCGCTTATTGCGTGTCAAAAGGGATTTTTGGCTGTGGGCAAACAGCTGCAGCTTCTGAAAATGGCGATTTCCGGCTGGTCCGAGCAGACCGAAGACCTCCGGATTCTGGACGGGGCGGTATCGACCAGGCTAGTGAAAGCCTTCGGTGCAGCCGCAGGACTGGCGCTCCATAAGCACCAGTATGACAAGCCTGGAGGTAATGATATGGGTGATGGATACTGGTGCAGCTCCCACGTGGAGAAGCGGCTTGCATTATACCATGTCGTGCAGGTAATTACAACACCTCCACATCTGTATAAAACTACAACCAGCCAATTGTTTAAACACCTTGCTGACCACGAGATTAATATCTCGCTACAGGTTGCGCGGGAGCACTTGGGACGTGACCTCGACCTTGAGCTGCAATCCGGAGACATGGGCTGGCTCCGAGAATTGCGGGAAGCCAACCTTACCCACGAAGATCGCGATGCCACTATACTCCTGGGAAATGTCCCTTGTAATAATTGCCATAGCTTCATTGAGGAGCTAAACGACCTCACTGGCATGCAAATTCATGTTCTGCCGATCCGACCTCTCGCCGAGGATGAACCGGCACCACGAAAACGAGACGAGGACGAGGACGAGCGTCTGCGAATCAAGCAGCCAGAAAATGATGAGAAGGCCACGTCCAGTGGTGAGGAAGAGGCGGAACCCCAAAATACCCGTACGACTACCGAATGCACTAGGCGAGCAGCCAAAGGATCAAACCCCAACAAACCTACTTTCGGTAACCTCTTCAAGGCAGTCACTAAGGAGGAATTCTCCGAACTTCAAAAAAGGAGTCACCCCGGTGTCAGCTCGCGAAACGCAGGGATACGACGTTATTCTCAAGCTCGCGCTGAAGCCCGCTCTGGTCGGGGCGTCTCCAGAATGGGTCGCGCAAATTCCGGTCGCGAAATCCGAGGTAGTCGTTACCCAGGTGGCCGGCGCGGCAGAGGCAGAGGGCAAGGGCCCAGGTCTGCTATCGGTCGAGGACTCGTCGACAACGGCGTGGCTCAGTCATCGCGCACAAGTCTCTCAAACCTAGAGCAATTCCGCTATCAAGCACCAGGCACAGCGTGACGATGGGAGCACTGACGTCGACTTGTCTTTTTTCCTTATTAGCACACTTGATCACATATTTTTCGTTGTGCGAAGACATTGCTGTTTTTTTTTCTAGGGGTTGGGAGTGTGTTTCGTTTTAGGCTCTATGTGGACATTTCGTTGTTTTCGTCACTTGGAGGGCTCACTTCCCCATCGTCTCGATGGCTTCAGCTCTTCGTGGTACTGGTATCATCAAGGTCTATTGTCTGTTCTATCGCAATGTTTTCCGGAGAAGCTCTTAGTGATACTCCGCCTAATGGGCTGGTACTGCTTTATTATCTTGAGGATCGCGGTATTTGTTTACTCCTTTTATCGTTGCGATGCTAGATTTTACCAATATTGATTGTTTGGCGGCGGACATGACCCAAGGTCCATCGAATTTATTGAGCGTTGTATTTAGTATGGCCGTCCCCTTCAATTGTCGTGAACGTGACTGCATCTTCTGGTCACTTAGAGCTTGCGGCTACAGTGACGTCATGCGGAATGTCCTTGGTGATTATGTAACGCTCCCGGAGCCCCACCTGGGCACGGGTGTGGATGCACTCAACACGCTGAACGACGCGATGGTGGATTGACAAGACGCGCTTGAGCTCAGCGCCGCGTTTTGCAGCCAGCTCCTGATCCCGACGGCGCAGAGGCGGGGCGGAGAATTGCTGCAGTACCTATTTTGGAACATCGCTTGCTGCTATTTTGAATCTTTTGCTGCGCACCTTTCTCCCTGCTTTGCTTCTTGGCCTGCTTCTCAATGGCGTCGACGCCCATTTCCTCGGACCTCGACGACACGGCATTCGATCCTGCCCACCCGTTCCATGGTATCGTGGTATGCTGCACGAGCATTGCGCCGGAACAACGGGTAAGTCGCTAGATGCTAGGCCCGAGGCAGGTTCTCGAGGCCGAAGCTAACGACGCTGCAGTCCGATCTTGCCGCCAAAACCCACGAGCTCGGTGGGTCTCACAAGTACGATCTTACGCCCGATGTCACGCACCTTATCGTTGGCGAGTACGACACCCCGAAATACCGCCATGTCGCCAAGGAGCGACCCGATATCATGCCAATGGCCGCCGGCTGGATCCAGGCCGTGAGGGATCTGTGGACCAAGGATGCCCCAATCAAATTCAAGGAGCTCGAGAAGGCCTGGCGTCTCAAGACGTTCGAGACGGATGGGAACCTACACAGCTCGTCTGTGGCATCCATCAACGACCGTGGGAGGCTGTTGATATGTTTGACTGGGTTCGACGACGCCCAAGAGCGCCAGGAGATAACCGAGACGGTGACAGCCAATGGAGGGGAGTACACAGGAGACCTGACACGTAAGGTCACGCATCTTGTCGTCAACCGCCCCGAGGGTAGGAAGTACGCGGCCGCAAAGACATGGGGCATCCACACCGTGTCCATCGAATGGATCCGCGATAGCGTCGAGCGCGGTATGATCTTGGATGAGCTGCGGTACGATCCTCTGCTGCCCCCTCGGGAGCGCGGAGTAGGCGCCTGGAACCGGCTTCAGGCCAAGCGGGCCGCGCTTGGGAAACGGCCGCGGGAGGGGTCTAGTGCGGCGGGCGCGGCTGATGCGGCCGACGACCGGAAGAGAAAGCTGCGGCGGACGGCAAGCCAAAAGCTAGCCACCCAGCGCGCCGGTTTGTGGGGGGACATTCTAGGGGAACAGCAGGGCCAACAGCAGGCCCCCACGGCCGAGCCGGCTGGCCAGCCCAAGAGGGAGAGCAGTGCAGACGCTGCCAGCAGTAGGTCTGTATCTCGTCAGGGATCCACGGTAGCCAATCAACCCCCTGGTGGTAAAAACCCCCCTTCGACGGCGGCTGGTCAAGCCACCCATGCCACACAGGAGGCACCTAAGGCACCTGAGCCCAGCCGATTGAATCTCGCTGCCGACAGCCCCGCGTTCCATTCGTGCGTCTTCCATATACATGGATTTAGCTCGCGCCATGCCGAGATCCTCGTCAACACTGTTCTCTCCCTGGGCGGCCAGACTGTCTCGACCCTTGACGAGCTTGCGGCTGCGCAGGCTGTCGGCCCGTCCGCACACGGGATCCTCATCGTTCCACAAGAATCGCAGCCCGAGACACACCCACAACTTCCTACCGGCGTCGAGATGGTGACTGAATTCTTCATTGAGCAGTGCATGCACAAGCGGCGGTTTTGCCCCCCAAGTGAGCACGTCATTGGCCGCCCGTTCCCGCGCTTCCCCATCGTGGGATTCGAGACGCTCGGCATCTCCACCTCGGGCTTCACGGGCCCAGACTTGAACCAAGTGGACAAGGCCATCCGGCAGCTGGGTGCGCGGTACGACGAGCGCTTCACGCCCAAAGCCTCGCTCCTAGTTTGCACGTCGGTAGAGGCGATCCGGAAGCAGAAGCTCGAGATGGCGCTAGCTTGGAAGGTGCCTGTCGTCAAGGCCGAATGGCTGTGGGAGTGCATATCGACCGGCTTCAAGGTGCCTTTCAGAGACTTTTTGTTCCCGGAGCTCAAGCAGAGCCTGACACCCCCAGAGACCCAAGTGGCCACGTCCGGCACAGGTCTCAGTAGAGAAAGGCTCTCTGAGCGGCTGTCTAGAGAGGAAATGATGTCTGCACCTGCACCTGCGTCTGTATCTACTTCATCGGATTTGAGACGGCGGCAGGGACAGAAGGCCACGATCAACCCCATCGACACGAGCGCATTCGATAACGAAGGCATCGAGGCCGCCGGACCAGGACCGAGGACTACGTTGCCGGCGAGAACGGCAAAAGCGAAAGACTCTGTGCAAACGACAACTCCCGGCACGGTAACGACGAGACAGGATCAACAAGATAGCGACTCCGGCGCAGTAACAGCCGCGAGGAGCCGAGATAACTCTGCGCCTCTATCCCAGGTGGGCTCGAACGCGCTGAACAAATCGACTTCGCCAAAAACGCACGACGAACAACCACTGGCCCCCGACGAGCCCTCAAAACCCTCGACAACAGCTCCCGCGCGCAAGGGGCTTGGCAGGATACTGAGCGAGGTGGCAGACTCTGAAGCCCCGGACTCGTCGAGGGAACAGACGCCCGAGGTCGAGTCGGAGCCGCAGCGGGCAGAAAGTCGCAAGCCGCGGGATGCACGTCCGCTCAAGCCCGACGTCCAACATTCCATGTCGAACCAGCTGGCAAGCTTGCTTGACGGCACCGCCACGACGACCGGGCTCGGCGCCGAGGGCGACGGCGGCAGCAGCAGCGGCAACGCGCGACGGCGGAAGCGCGGCATCTTCGGGCGCGCCGTCTCCAACGTCTCGGCCGGGTCGGACGGCAGCGGGTCGGTCCACGGCGGGCTTGGCAGCGGGCCGCGCGACTCGCTCGTCCCCGTGGTCCGGGAGGACGACGAGGACGACAAGGAGGCCGAGCGGCCGCCGCCGTCGACGGAGCTGGTCTATGACGCGCCGCAGTCCGAGTACTTTAGGGCTCTGTTGAGGACCGGCGGCGCGTCCGGGACGGTGAGCGACGGCGGCGACGGCGAGAAGCTGACGCTCAAGGACCTGCAGCAGCATCAGCAGGCCGCGGCAGCGATGGGGACCAGGGGTGCTAGTTCTTCAAGGAGGTTGCGGCACAGATAAGGGAGGGGGGCATGTTTTCTCGCTTCTTATTTCGGATACCTCGAGCGGGCGATATTTTCACATGAAAGGGATATGGAGTTTTGGGCAGCATTTTCACACACCGGCAGCATGTTTGGATCTTGTGTGTCGTAATAAACCGTTGGGATATGTGCTTAGTGCCGCAAAGGCGTTTGTTCATGTTAGAAGGCATGGGATAGGAAATAAGAGTCCTTGTATTTGTCTACAGAATGAGATTGTTGTCAACACCTCCCTATATTACAGTGCGGCTGAACTCCAACAGCCCGTCTACACGCTGTGACAACTCGCACTGATGAGACACTCTTTCCTGCGGCAGATCCCTCACGCATATGCCGCCCAGCCTATGATTGTGCGTTAGCACGTGGATCAACCAACGTTGAGCACAGGGGAGGAAGGGATCGAGGAGAACCAAGGCCACCGGCCGGGCAAAAAAAAAAAAACTCACCAGAATACAAAACAGCCAGGTTCCTCTCCGAGGTGGCCTGATTGATCAGGTCGTTGACCGTGGCCGTGACGCTCAGCGTCTTGGACAGCTTCTTGCGCACCACCTCGAGGGCGCGGTCGGCCTCGGACGGCTCGTTGACGGCCTTGCGGCTCTCGACGACGGCCTGGCCGCCGTCGTCGGTGGCGGCGGCGGCGGCGGCATCATCAGTCCCGCCGCCGCCCGCGCGCTGGCGCGTCGTCGTGTCTTGCAGCTTCGCCAGGCGCACGGGCGAGATGGACCACGAGTAGAGCGGGTCGTAGCGCAGGACGTCGAGGATGGTCATGATGGAGTACGTCTCCTCGCGCAGGGCGTCCATTGTGAACTCGCAGCAGCGGCGGAAGACGCCCTCGGTCTTTGTGATGCCCATGCCGTCGACGATGTCGCGCGTGAGGCGGAAGGGCACCAGCTCGGGCACGGGCAGGACGCGGCCCATCTCGAAGGCGACGCCCAGGTCGATGTGCACCACCTCGCCCGTGACGCGGTCCAGCAGGATGTTGTGGCCGTGGCGGTCGCCGAGCCCGAGCACGTGGCCGAGCATCGAGATGGCGGCCGTGGTGCGCGTGTAGGCCAGCCGGCGCGCGAACCACTCGTCGGGCGCCTGGAAGTTCTCCATGAAGAAGTAGCGCATGACGGGGCGGAAGCGCTCGGCCACGCGCCGGTAGGCCGCGACGCGCACGTCGACCGTCCTCCCCTGCGCGTTGGCCACCTCGCGGCGGCAGTGCGAGGCCTTGAGGTCCTTGGGGTAGTACTTCTCGTGCGCCGGCATGAGGTAGTCGTGCAGCGGCTGCGTGCTGGGCACGAACTCGATCAGGCCCGACGTGGCCGTCAGCGGCAGCACCTTGTAGGTCCGGATGCCCAGGTTGCGCTGCCGCGTCGCGCGGTGGTGCTTGAGCAGCGACGACACGGCCGCAAACACCTGCTCCATGATGGCGTCCTGCCGCAGGTCGTCGTTGCCGCCCTTGACCAGCTGCTTGTACTTGGCTCCGTCCGTGCCCACGGCCGTGATGATCTTGGGCGCGCTGATGCCCGACGCGATGGCCATGTTGGGCTCGAGCTTGAGGATGGTCGGCACCCCGGAGTAGTCCAGGTCCGCCCGCAGCTCCATCTGCAGCGTCGGCGGCGGGATGCGGTACTTTGCGAGCGTCGAGATGAGCGCCGGGCCCGCCTGCGCGTCCTTGATGGCCACCTTGGCGCCCTGCTTGTAGCGCGTCGGGTTCTTCTCCGTCGCCAGCGTGTGGTAGCACCTGTTGGTTCTATCAACTGCGTGCCAGATATGGCTCACCGACTTGTGCTTGGACAGCAGGTCCGAGATGCGCGCCGTCGCCTTCTGTCGGAGCACCGCCACCTCGTCCTCCCTGTTGGTGCGCGACTTGGTCCCGGACCAGATCTGGTACATGCCGTGGTACGGGTGCTCGACGCAGATGCGGTAGACGAGGTTCATCAGCAGCCGCTGGAAGTGCGACGCGTTGTCTTGCAGGCGAGACGTGAGCTGGTTGATGAGCGGCGCCAGCTTCCGGCTCGGCACCTTGTCGACGTACTTGCGCACCGCCTCGTTTGTCGACTCCTCCCCGGCCCGCTCGAGCCAGAGCGCCGTGAAGCGCAGGGCGTCGTTGTTGTGCTCGTCCGAGGCCGTGAGCGAGAGGAGATAGTTCTCCAGGCTCAGCTTCACAAACTCGTTCCGCGTCTGCTCGACCCTCCGCAGCTCCTGCTGGTCCAACACGAGCCACTGCTTCGCCTTGCCTAGGTGGCTCGTGTACTTACTCTTCAGCTGCGAGTCCCTAGTGTCGTGAATCAGCGTCTCGAGCTGCGCCACTTCGTCGCTCTTGCCCTTCTCGAGGCCCTTCAGCCGATTCAGGTCAGACATGCTGTCGGGGTTCTGCAGCTGCTCGTCGCAGAACACGGCGAACTGGTGGAACACTTTCCCTGCCTCGTTCCCTTCGCTGGCTCCCTTGAGCTCCTTGAGAGCCGGCTCGAGATACTTCTTCTGGATGCTGTCTGGACTCTCCAGCCTGGCCACCGAGACCTGGTGTCCAATCTTGGCAAGCAGGTCGGCTCGGCTGACGTGAATCGTCTGCTTCTTGAGCGCCGAGTCCTTTTCTATACCCTGCAGCATACGGATTGAAGGTATCATTTCCCCGTGGTCCCAGAAAGAGCTGGCCACCTCCACCTTTACCGCAGCATCCACGCTGAGACCCATGGCATCACATGGCCCAATGAGGTCGTTCAGTGAGGTGGCAATGTTGAGCGACTCCTGGGTTGCGTCGTGGAAACGGTAGATGCCGGCCGAAAGTAGCAATGCTCGGATCTCGACGAGCCTGGCCTCGGCCGACGAGAGTTGCTTAGGGCCACGGATGATGCTCTGCTGGCTAAGCATGCTCAGTGTCGACGCTCGGCACGACAGGATCTGTCTCACATCCTCGTATCTTCCGCTCATCATCCACCTGGATCGCCCGTCGAATTTCTCGAACATGCCTTCGAGCTCCGAGGCGTCCGTCACGCCCAGGATCTCGTCGAGCTCCGTCAAGGCAGCTAGCACATCAAGATTAAGACGGAGATTTGACGCCTTCAGGCTGTTGCGCGTCAGGTGGCGCACCGTCTCTGCCAAGCCCTCGTGGACGGCCTGTCGCGCCGAGGTCAAGTCTGTCGCCTGGTGGATGTTTTGGTACGCCTTGTACACGGTCACGGAGTGGCTCGTGTAGTTGGATGGCACCGGCAGGTTCCATATCTCAAGTCGTCTCGCGGCGTTGAAGGTGCTGTCCATGCTAGCCACCCCGCCGTCCAAGCCCTGCTGCGTCTGAAGCAGCGAATGCGAAAGCCCGGACAGTCCCAGGTTGCCCAGCGCGTGAACAAGAGACTGGCCATCCTTTTCGGACTGCTGGTCTCTCTGCCTCACATGGCTGTCGTACTGGGCTCCGCGGAATGCGAGCCCCTTGATGCCGTCTTTCTCGTACTCGAGCCGAGCAAGAACGTTAGCCAGGCTGGATGTCTGCGGCAGTCCGTAGTAGGCGTCCGGGTCGTCAATATTCTCAAAGATGTTGAGTAGTATCTCGGTCGAGTCGGTAGTGTCCAGATCTCTGACGGCAGACGACCGCCTCGAGGCCCTGGAGCTGGTCTCAGAAAGGGCCAGCTCCGCAAAGAGAAGGGCGACCTTGAACATGCCACACCGCGTGGCGGCGGCAGAGGCCGCGGGGAGATCTATATCTAGCCACTGCGACCGGTCCGCGATCGAAGTTTCGTTGGCCAGAGGCTGTGTGCGCAGGAACAACATCGTGTTGATGACAAGCTTGATGTTCTCCCTTGCCTCTGCCTTCTCGACGGCAAGCCAGTCTTTGATGGCGGCCGACAGCCTGCGTCGAATGACCTGCTCCTTGTCGAGCTGGAACTCCAGGACCAGGTGGACGACAAATTGGAAGACCTCTTCCGCAAACCCTTTAGCTCGCTGAAGTAGCGGAGGTAGTACGGAAAGTACAACGTCCTGCGGTACCGACTTTGCCAGGTACATTGCCATTTCTTGCGACCAGTCTGGGCTCTCGATCCTCTCTGCCCCAAAAAGGTCTACGTCAGGGGTCAATTCGGGCTCGGTAAAGTCCGAGGGCGGCGTGCGGTAGGGACTCCAGTCCGAGGAAACCATCAGGGCCTCGGAGAGATTTTCCTGGCACACCATTTGCAGTGCGGCATCTCGCTGCGCTACGGCCTCGGATACGACCGTCCGCAGCGCCGACTCGGCGAGACCGGCAGTGTGGCATTCCCTGTCCGTTGTCAAGGCCTCAAGAAGGTCCAAGATGCCCTGCTCGGAGCCAGCTTCCGGAGCAGCTGCCCTGGTAGAGTCGGCGATGCGGGACTCACGGAGAAACTCCTCTTGGATCTCGCCCGATGCCACAAACGACTTGCCAATCACGCGCCCGGCCCAGGTGAGATACTCGTTCTGCAGCGACTGGGACTTGCAGCTTTCCCATACCATAGCCCCGTGGGCAATAGCGTCGCTGTCCGTCTCTATAATGTCTGTGCGGCCGGAGTAAGGCACCTGGAAATCGCCACAGAGCATTCCCAGTGCCAGATCCCTGGACGAACGGTTTAGGAGCTGATGCTCACGCTCCCCGTCCTTCAAGATCTCCATCAGGAGGCTAGACTCATGGGTGCCCTTTTCGGCGTTCCCTGAAGCCCGAATGTGCGCGGCAGATTGTGTGATGGACTTGAAAGCCGCGCGTTGAGATTCATCCTTGAAGGCAGACGAGTCATAGTCGGTCAGGTATTTTGTGAACCACGAATGAAACTTTTCGGCGTTGGTCTTGGTGGCCTTGAACTGGCTCTCCTGTGTAGTGCTTGACTGACTGGACTCTAGAAACATGCGCAGTGAAGCTAGAGTAGACAGCGAATAACCGGCGAGGAAAGAAGGCACCTGAGCGAGGTGGTTGACCCCAGAGGAGACGAGGTAGCGGGTAAGGCCTAGAGCATCGTCTGCGCATTCGGCATCTCCGACGAATGGCCTAACCGAATGTAGCAGCATCTCTAGGGGGTATGAGTTGGTTGCCTGCGCCCCCGCGAGGCACACCAAGACGCGCACCTTCCGGATGACGGAGCAGGCGTGCAACGGGCCCATGGCTGGGTGCACTGTGTTGAGAAGCCGACGGGCAATAGACACGACGAGGGCCGGGGTCCAAAGAGTAGGCAGCTCGTGCTCGGTGCGGCTGCAAAGGTGTTCGATCTCCTTACAGAGGTATTTCGCCTTGAACATGGGTTGCTGATTCGGTGGTAGATCCACAGCGAGGTGTCCATGGATTTTGATCTTGGCCATTATGTCGGCGGCGTACTTGAGGTTGGGGTCCTTTGCAAATGCCCTCTCGATGGGGTCCTCCTGATCGATGAGATCGAAAAGTATGCCGATGATATCCACAAAGTTGAGATGGATGCATTCCAAAAACGTCTCCTTGCCCAGAATCTTCCGGATACGGCTTTCGCTGGTAGTCTGCTGTCCGTCCTTAGGGATGCTGATGTCGTGAGCGATGCTGTATGCCATTGTCCGTGAGAAGCTTAACTGTATCAGTTGAGCCGTGGACACTTTCAGCCGCTTGGCAAGATCCTGGACGTCTCCCTCTTGGCCCCGCATGATCATGAGGGCGGTGATTTCTACCCTTGCCTGAGAGAGCAGCTCTTCGAGCGTTGCGAACCCGAATATCCCGAAAGGCATGTCTGCCATGGGGTTGGCCTCTAACCACGTATACAGTAGCTGTGGAGTGAAAAGCCTGAATAGCTCCTTGGGGGAATCAAGTCCCAGGACATGGGCCACTCGTGCGAGACATCGAGTCGCGTGCTTATCGGACTTGGTGACCGTTCCGGGAGTCTCAAAGATGTGGTAGATGCACCTCCTGAGCAGTGTGGGCCAGCGGCATGCTATTTCTGCCAGAGCAAAAAGTCGCAGCGCGATGCCCTCGTGATGCTCCGGGTCGGCGGGCAGGCAGTCGAGGATGTCGACGAATAGGTTGTCATGGACCTTGAAGACGAATAGCGCAAATATGTTGGGCAGTTTCGCGCCAATCTTGAACTTTAGCCACAAGCTACCGTCCTGGAAGACAGACAGAAGAGTAGAGCGACAGGGTGCTAGCCCTAGGGCCTGGCCGTAGTCGGAGTTTTTCTCCAGCAGAGCAAAAAGAAGATCAGCGAACCAGGCCTGCGCTCTCGGGGATAGATCGTTGCTAGGCAGCCCTGTTTTGACAATGTACGAGTACAAGTCCCCAACCATTGTTGACACATCAAGGGTGGCATTGCTCCAGATAGGAATGAAGCCCTCGATCAGGTCAATACATGTGCCGAGCGCCACCTCGCATGTAGAGTACTCCGAGTCGCCGAGAATGGTACCAACGGCCTCTACCAGACGACGAGCGTCTTCGGGGTTGATGGAAGAGTCCGAGGTGAGAATGTCCTGCAGGAGACGACGGCAGAAGAGAAAGTCGTCGGATGAAAGTGACACCAGTTGCTCGACAAAGTCGGCGGGAACCAATCCGATCTGGCCTTCGTCATCGAGCATGATCGACAGGAGGCGGAGTCTCATGGTGAGGTCGGCGTAGAAGCCTTCGCGGCTGAACCTCACACCGATATTACTCCTTGGCAGCGGTGAAGCCTTGGAGATGGAGCTCCCCTGGCTCGCCTGTGAGCCAAAGTCGTCGTCGAGATCCATCATATCCAGCGCAGCACTAGATGACTGCTGTGAAGATTTCTCGCTGATCGCTAGCGACAGTTTGGAGAAAAGCTCCAGCAGCGGCTTGCTCTCTTTGCGGAACCGTGTAAGATCGGATGCGTTCAGCCCCGGGAGATACGCGGCCACGGAGCTGAGGCAGATCTCTGAAAAGTGTTGTGTTTCTCCAGCAGCCAACACTGCCTTGAGAATCCTGTCAACAAGGGCGGATGAGGCCATTTCCACCTCCCTGGACAGCGTCGTGTTCATCCCCTCAAACTGCGGGAGCATCATCACCCCGACAAGGGCACAATAAACGAGACTCTGCAGGCGCTCAGTAGACACCTGGGCAGCGCCTTCGCCGTGCGACCCACGCCCTCCCCAGGACTCTGCCGTTCCTAGGGACTCGCTGAGTTTTGGATGAAGCAGCTCCAGGACTAGCTTTTTGGCAGCATTCGCATCCGCAGCATCGGCCGCATTTGCGCCGGCTTCAGCCCGAGTCGACGAGCCGCAAATCAGCCGATCGCCATGTTTCCGGGCGCCGGCCGGGTTTAGGACGAGATAGTCTATCATTCCGCTGTCTTCTGACTGTTGCCGCCAATATTGATAAACATACCCCCCAAAAACGGCGGTTGAGCTGTTTGACTTGAAGGGCTGGCTCCCAAAACAGGCTCTGAGCAAGTTCACGATGTCAAGAGGATCTGCGTGTCGCGAATGTGACGTGGCGTATGTATAGTCGGCTGCATTATGTTGATATCAGTTGGCTGTTTTCTTTTGTCATGTATATGGCATGAATGTTGCTTGACATGTTCTTACCTGGGTTCCACTTGGAGAAAAGCCATCGAGTTATATGACTGCGTGTGGCCTGACTCGCACCAGGGAGCATGGTATTTCTGAGATGCAGAAGATGTAACATCAGGACCAGAGATGCGTCAACGAGGACGGCAGGACCGCTGATGTCCGCTGTGGTGATGATAGTGTTGACACTGTCGGCAATCTCGTGATATGGCAGAAGATCCGACTCAAGAATCGAGTGGAGGAGGGCACACGCAGCCCGGCTGGTCCCTTGGTGGCTTACGGAACGAACAGCCACCTGCCAGATTTGAGACCAGGACGTCGTGAGCGACACGTCCTTACCCAGAGGGAATGCAGCGTAACTAAAAGTGGTGATCTGTCAGCGAGAGTTTCCCATCCAGAAATACTGGGCGACCTACCTCGCACACGCAATCATTGCCCATGAGGCGATGGCCGACTGCTTATGGCTGATCAACGATATCATAAGGCCGAGAATGTCCGAGAAGTCGCTTAGCGGCGGAGTCTCGACGGCCACCTGGAAGGGCACCGAGTGTAAGGCGACAAGCTTCATCGTGTCTTCGGCGGACCGCAGTCTTTGATACAGTCTATGGCGATCCTCGTCTATCCGACGCCTTTTGCGTGGCTGGTCCACCTCGGGCTCTACAGACAGTAGACGCCGTTGCCTCAGGTTTCGTGAGTAGATGGACTCGAGCGCCGCAATAGCCTCGACAACCGCCCAACTGCGCTCCGCAGCTGGGTGGAATGGCCGGAGGCCAAATAACCGAGTACAGAAGTAGTCGGCCGATATAGACGAGAAGTCGAGGTCGGCCAACTGGAGACGCGCACGCTCGTCGCGCCTCGAGTACTCAAGCCAGAGCGCGTCCAGAAGCTCTTCCATATCCCCCAAGACAGACCGGTCCTCGGGTTTTTGGGCAAGGGCGTCGATATGGGGGAGAAGTATGAAGATGGTGCGAAGAATCTCGTCTCGAATCGAATTCAGCAATTTGTCGTTCTTTGATGAGTGTGGCTGCCACCAGTGGCTGAGTAGCGCCAGGATGTCGCGAACGACGCCAGCAACCAGAGTCAGATCGTCGCCCTGGAGGCTGGAGAGGATGGAGTTTATGGATTCGAATGCGGCCTGGTGCATCTTGCTCACGTTGAAGTCGCGTAGCTGCAGCACCTGGACTACCGTGGCGGTGAGTTCACTGGATCGTAGTCGGAGGGGGGCGTTTATGGCAGACACGAGGTATAGCACGCACTGCACCATGTCCTCAAGGTGTCTCAGGCCCTTCTCCTTGCCATTGCGCTGGCTGATCGAAGTGCCAGACCTAGCTGTCGACGAAGTTCCAGGAGCAGGGGAGCCACGCGGCGGCACGCTCAGCTCGCGGTCTCCGTTGCCAAAGGACTGCGATATAGCATCGATAAAGAAGTCGGCACACGCCAGCCAGCCTTCGGCGTCGTTCCGGCATAGCTGTTCTACATTCGCGGGTCGCCCGAGGAGAGCTACCAGGGACTTGATATAGTCCTGGCGAAGAGGTGTGACAAACTCCTGGTCGGGGCCGGGGAGCACCTGAGTGATGTGGTCGACGACAGCCCTCGCCGCCTTGACCTTCAGCCTTGCGGCCCGCTGAGTGAGAATGGTGCGGAGAGCTTCGGCGCAGAGGCCGAGCCGGTTCTCCGCCTGCGTCTTCGTGGTCTTGGTACCCCCATAGTAGGTGGTTTTCTCTGCTATGGCGCAGTGGAATATAGCCTCCAAGAGTTGGTGGATGACCTTGTCCTTCAGCAATTTGCTGGGACGAGCATTAGCGCCATGTCTTTTGCGTCGCAAAGCGGCCTTCGAGTCCTCCCTACTTACATTCTGTCGGCTCGTGAAGCGAACTCGATCAGTTCTAGGTCATGTCAGTGGGCTGCGTGGGCAGAATTTAGCCAAAGGGAAAGGGGCATCCGCGTACCTTTCAATGAGCTGGCACGGTCGTTGGCTTTGCCGCTGATAATCGTGACTGTCTCAGACCATTAGAATTGGCGAGGCTCTCAAAACACAGCAAATGCGACGATGTCACACACATACCACGTATGTCTTCGATAGATGCGCTCCTGGCTGGAGCCTTTCGAGGCGGCATCCTGCGACGCCGCTCATGAATCCGTGCTCGCTAACGAGACTAGAGGGGAGGTTTGAAAAGGCCCGGGCGTGTGGTTCGCAAGCAGTGGTTGCCTTTGGCACCAGCACATATGATAAATGGCGGGCCCAGATTCTGGAGGCAACTAGCGGAGGCGTCGGACCTCGACGAAGCGAGTGGATGATATACTCTCGTCTTTTTACAATATCGCGGTGGTCGTTGCCACGCCAGAACAAGTCAATGAATTAATCGATCATAAAGCACACCAAAATCAATCAGTCCAACACAGCCAGCAGTGAGCAGGATAAAAGACAAATGCGCAAGCAAATTTCTGGCGCCATGGAATTCCGTCTGGCCGGTCAAGAAACAGGCCCTTGTCCTGAGGCTGCGCTTTCTCAGGTGCGCGCGACTGGGGCCTTGAGCGCGCCTGCCTGGCGCCTGCAAGAAGAGAAGCCGCAGACTGGAAATGTTTGTTTGCCGCAGCCAGCCGTCCATCCCGGCTCAAGCCCCACGCGACCTGAGCTTTAGGGACCTATGATTGGACGGGTGGCTGAAGCTCCCCACACCCTTGTATACACTACATGCGATTCGGCAGGCTGCGGCGTGGAAATTCGGTACTCGAGACATGTCCTCTGCCTGTCCCCAGCTCAGACGTCAATTCGTAGCAGTGTGGAGTTTGCGGTCGGAGCTCAGAAAGTTGGATCGCGTTCTTTCTTTCAGAACCTGATGATAGCGCGTATGAGGCACCCGACCCTCTCTCACAAACAGACCGCCCGCAGCCAACCGCCTACCACGTCAAACGGGCCCCCCAACCAGTCTCTCGCCTCGAGCATAGCTGCACCGCAACCTGCAGAAGCCACACGCCTCGCCCATGCGTAACGCGCCCTGCGCACCGCGCTCCTCTGGCTGACCTGGCGATGCGCCGCTCCTAACCAACCATGTCTCTCGAGAGTCTCCAGTCCCTGTGCGGCGACCTGCTGGCACTAGGGGAAAGCCCGGACAAGGCGGCACAGTCCCTGGTCCAAGAGCTCAATGCCAACCTCGAGAACTTCAAGAACTTCCTCCAAAAGCCGCCGAGAAAGCAGGCGAGCAGGGACCAGGTCCAGACAGGTCAGTCGGTCCAGCTTTGGCCCCCCGCCGCATCTTTGGGATAACTGTGGGCTCACGGAACGGCCACGCATCATAGGGAAGATCAAGATCCAAGACGATGAGTACTCGGTCAACCAAGAGTTCCAGGAGTACTGTCTCCAGCTCGCCGACGAGGTCGATCTCGACGAAATCGAGGCGGCTAAGCTCCTCCTCGAATCGCAGGACAGCCAAATAACGCTTGGCAGGCCACTTCTCGAGTGCGCGCTTATCCGGTTCCACCAGCAGCGAAAGTACCTCCTGGACTGCATGAGGATATGCATCCAGCTTGCCGACGACGACCGCCTCGATGACAGCGTGCAACAGGACATGGGCGAGATCGTGGCCCACTACGTCTTCGGCGCCCCGACACCAGGGGCACCCAGTCCACCCGCCGACCAGAAGATCGTACCGCGATGCATGTCAGCCATGATGTTGATCAAACAATGGCTGCAGAAGCTGTCGGACAAGATTTTACTGGCTCAGACCAGCGGCTCCAGACCCCCCGAGCTAGAGACCATCGAGTTCTGCCGCCTCAGCCTTATACAACAGCATGAGAACCTGGCCGTGATACTCTGCACTGCTATCGAAAAGCGGCACGCCGACGTATCAAACTTCGAAGCGCTGCTCCAGCTGCTAAAGAAAGCCGACAAGTACGACCATCTTCTCGTCCACCTGTTCCCTGTTCTGGGAGCGTACATCCGTGTGTACGGGTCCATCGAGGGCATAGGGGACATGGTGGTCGCCAGGAGTCTGAACGATAAGGTTGTGAAGCAGTCTGACGACCAGCCCTGGCTCATGTCGTTCATGTATGCCGCCGTTAGGGTATGGTGGATTGCAGAGTACAGTGGCTGGTACGTCGAAGGCCCTGTCGACGATTCGACCATCGACGTGGACAAGGAGGACAAGGAGCGGTCTAAGCAGTTCATTGAGGCTCTCAAGGACGGGGGCTTCGACTTCATGCTGTCGGTTGCGGCCGATGTTGCCACCCCCGAATGGCAGGACCCCTCGCGCATCGGCATCCGGCAGTGGCTACAGCGCAAGTCTCCGTCACTGGCAACTGAGTCTATCCCATTTTCAGACCATTTCCACGACTGTTTAATGTCGCAACTCGAGGACTTCGTTGACGCCTTCATCTCAAACCTACCCGACGTCTTGCGGAAACTTCGTATCGACGAGGACGAACAGCGCCAGCTCAGCCAGTTTCACGAGCAGGATCTGGACCTCGAGCGATTCCTCATTATAATATCCTACGCATTCGAGCGGCGGCCGGATGCTGCTGACGCCTTTTGGTCCGACGCAGAGAGCAACCTCGCCGGCTTCATGCAGTGGGCGTCGCGGAGGGCATCGACTCCGCTGGTGTGCGCCTTCTGCGAGATGCTGCAGGCTATCACCGACACGGAGCCGCACGCCAAGCTGGCAAACGACTTCCTTCTTGAGGATAGCCATCACGCCTCGGGAAAGATGAGGAGAACACAGTCGTTGACGTGGTCTCAGATCTTCAAGGAGCTGGAGTTCTTTACCAAAAAGCTTCGCGAGCGGCCTAGCGCCCAGCAGGGTCAGGGGTTCCGGACGGCCAAGCCGGGCGGTGAGCAGGCCGAGTCGGAGCCTGAGGAGGCAATGCTTCTAGAATGCTACCTTCGCCTTATAGCCAAGCTTTCCTCCCAGAGCGAGGAAGCCCGGCTGTTTCTCTTGACCAGGAGTGATGGCGACCTTGTCAAGCTCATACTAGAGCTATCAAGCTGCCCCATTCCACCAAGACTCCGGGCGTGTGGGTTCTATGCCTTGGCGGCCCTGCTGTCGCGAAAAACCGAACATCAGAGCGGAGTCATGTGGGAATACATCGATGTCTTTGCCAGCGGTGGCTTCCAAGTTACAGGCACGCCCCAGCGCGGCCCTGCTCTGGCAGCGAGCCAGACTGTGTCCGCGCTCATGGACTCCGTGTTTGAGGAGATTGGTAATGGGTTCGAGGAGCCCAACGCCTTCATCCATGTTCTCATCGCGCTTGTTTCTCCATGCGACGGCTCGAGCCTACTTAGAGACTCGCTACCATTTCCCGAAGCCCTCGGCTCAAGCGTCAGGATGCCGGGTATCGAGCCATACGTGGACTTCGTCTTGGGCCACGTTTTTGGGGTCAAGTCAAAAGAGCTCCAGGATGCTTCGCAGCTTCAAGTTCTGCGGCTGACATGTTTGGAATTTGCTCTGCGGTGCATCAACTCCTTCAACGAAGACCTCATCATCCTGGGCAACGACACCAGCATACCTGTGGACACCATCATTGCCGCCAAGGATCTCGCCACCTACGTCTGCCTCCACCCATTTGCCCGAGTGATGGAGTGGATGTTCAACAGCCAGGTGGTGGATTCCCTCTTCGCCACGATCCATCAAGAATCCAACGACATCGGCACCGCCTCACCTGACTCGCCTCTCATCCAAGGCATCATCCGTGCAGTAGAGCTGGTGTCCAGAGTCCTCGATCTGCAGGACACGTATGTGGACCTCGTTCGCCAAATCGTCAAGGCCAACTCGGGCCAACGGCAACGGCCAGTGCCCCACGCCGCATACGCCTCCTTCGAGGAAGGGTTTGTGAGCCACTTGGAGGTTGTGGCAGACCTCGGACGCTTCTGCAGCCTGGGCCACCCCGAGCTGACCATGGCATGCCTGAGGCTGCTGGACAAGATATCAGCCTCATCTAAACTCATCTCAGCCTGGAACCCGGGTCCGGGTCGCCAGTCGTACCGCAACAAGGCGGTCGTGGCGCTGGAGAAGGACGGGGAGGCCGAATCCATCGCCGGCTCCCTCATTGCTGAGATGGTGCACCCGCTCGACCTCGCCCGGGAGGCAAGTGCGCCCAACTACCAAATCAAGACCTACATCCTGGACTTCCTCTACTCCTGTCTGCGCGCGTCGCCCAACCAGCCCACGATAGCACATCTACTTCTAGGGTTCAAGTGTGGAGTCGGCCACCTAATCGTCGAGCCAAGGGGCCAGTTCGAGGAGCGCACATCTCTGTTCCATAACCTTCTCAGGGTTCTCCTCGAGACCCCCTTCGGCGATGAGAACCTCGGAATGCGTACCTGGCTCGTGTCGCTCAAGTTCAAGATTATGAGGATCTTCCAGATCCTGTGGAGTGCACCACTGTCTTCCAGCATTGTCTTGGACGAGCTACGCCGGAACGATATCCTCTTCCACCTCGTCATGCGCGAGGAGTCAATCCGGCCCGATCTCGTGTGGGAAGGGCAGGATATCAACGACGTCAACTCATTCATGTCGGATGCTGCCGTCGGCTTCGTTGAGTACCTCGCGTGCAGGAACATGACATTCGACTATCTAGCGATAGAGCTTTGCAGCGTGGCCCAGAACCGTCTGCCGAGCCTCAAACGCCGCATCTTTGATGCTCTCAACGGTCAGATCAAGGGCGGCGACTCGGACACGCCACAGACGGTGCCCACCGTGTTTGACTTGTTCGATTTCCTACCATCAGAAGGGCAATGGAACGTCGCCACTCCCGAGTTTGTCTACTTCAAGGACCTGGACCTCAAGGCCTGTATGGAGGAAGGCCCCGCGTCTATGCCCGTCTACAACATCGACAGGGCTCGGCAGGTCATTGCACTCAAAAAGAGACAAGATGCCCAGGGCGGTCAGCTTGCTACCCCTAATGAGATAGCTGCTGTCGATCGGGAACAGACAACATTGGAAGACTTTCTAGTGTACTCCAATCGCCAGACGGAGACCGAATGCGAGAGACGCAAGGTTCTTAGCAGCTGGGTGAATCTTCTCTTGGTCATGTTCGAATCGAGCGAGCTTCAGGGGACAGCCAAGGTTACCTTTTTGCTGCAAGCCCTGCAAGCAGTCCTACCAAGCCTCGAATCATTCGGGTCGGACCGACCAACGGAGGCCTTCGAACTTGCAAGGCTGGCCCGCGTCCTGCTATACAAACTTGACCTGTCGGCCCCAGACCCGCATGACAAAGACAGTCGTGCGGTGGGCAATCTGATCAGCGAAAAGCTCTTCCAGCTTTTTGAGGTCTGCCTCCACTCGATTGGCAGGCGGGCGGGCAACACGGAGCTCCGCTCCGTATACTACGCCATCTGCTACCGCTATCTCACCGGCATCATTGACGACGGCAGGGACTTTGTTCCAGGGCGGAGGAAGACTGCCAAGGCAATCAGGATATACGGCGAGCGGCTGTTGACAGTCGTGTGCGATGACGTCTTTGGAGGCGACCCAACGTGTCAGACGGCCGCCTTGATAGTGCTGGGTGCCTTCGTGAGCCTGGGCCGTCGAGAAAACGATAATCAGATCGTGGAGGCCCTCAACCGGCTGAACTTCATCGGCATCCTCGTCGACTCTCTCAAAACTATTCTTGCGGACGTCAACTCGGCACGAGAAGGTGAGCACTGATCGCGTGGAAATCATGATTACAGCCCAGCTAATGATGATTGTAGCAGGGAGCTCTGATCAACAAGATGCATACCAGAATGCCAAACTAGCGCTTCTGCTACAGCTCTGCCAGGGACGCGAGGGGGCAAAGCACGTCCTGCAGGCTAACCTCATGCGAGCAATCGAACTCTCCGGCCTCTTCGCTGCAGACCCCGAGCTGCAGATCGGTAAGCAAGCAAGCCTATCACGCCCTTCTCCCGCTCGTGTTCTTTTTGTTCTGACCGGAAGACTTCGGTTTGCGTAGACCCGAGCAACACCAAGGCCCTGGCACATCACTATGACCTGTTGATCAGGGCGATGCGCGTCATCGACGCGGCCATCGTCAGCCGCGGGGCGCACAACGTGCCACAAGGGCGCCGCTTCCTAACGGACCACCGTATGCTTGTGATGCACATCCTAAAGCGCTCGGCCGGCATCGCCGCCGTCGACCACCGCCTGGAGGAGCTGGTGTCGGAGCTTGCGGATGCCTTCATGGTACTCATCGCGGCTACTGGCTTCCTCGAGTTCGAAGACGGCCAGACCAGCGGGGGAACGCAGCAACGGCGCAAGGGCGCGCCTATCATGTTCACCTGATAGAGTGAATTTATCTCACAAAATGCTGGCGAGAGACGGGGCCTTGTCTGGGTCTCTGAGACGAAGGGCTTGCCTTGCCATACACATGTTGTTTAATTGATTCCACCCAACGCGTCCTAGATCACCTATTGCAGCAGCCCCATGGCCTATATCCCATATAAAGCGATAGTTTTGATGCCCTTAGAATAAACGGATCTGTAAAGAGACCTATGGTTGCTCGACTGCGAAGCGGCTAGTTCTCAAAGGCCAGTCTTTGACGTAATGGCTCTGGCAATCTCAGTGAAGACGGCAGCCCTCTCGCTGTCAGGCTCAGCCACCACCGTGGGACACCCCCTATGGGCATCGTCGCCAATGTTTGGATGGAGGGGCAGATCGCCTAGAAAATCGATTTGATGCTGACTGCATACCTCCTGGACCGCGTCGCCGGACCCGAAGACGGCCGTGTCGCCATGGCAGTGGGGACAGCGGAAAACCGACATGTTCTGCACCAGCCCCAGGATCGGCACGTTGACCTTTTTGAACATGTTGATGCCCTTGACGGCGTCTTTGACCGCAAGGGTGTGTGGTGTGGTGACTATGATAGACCCTGAAAGCAAGGTCGAACACACGGTATGTTGTAAGCACAAGATTAAAAGGGGCTGGTGGGGCGGGCTCAGGGAATCGTCGTACCATCCAGAAATATCTGCTGGGTGATGCTCAGCTGGGTATCGCCGGTACCGGGCGGCAGGTCGAGCACCAGGACGTCCAGACCTCCCCAGTCGACCTCGTGCAGCAGCTGTTGCAGGGCTTTCATCACCATCATGCCGCGCCACACGACGGGGGCTTCCTCGCCGACAAGGTAGCCCATCGACATGGTCTTGACGCCATAATTGGAAAGCGGCAGCAACTGGTTGTCTATCTCACAAATGGTGGGGTCAATGACAGATCGTTAGACAGATAAGAGGTAGGGTATTCGGTCCCGTACTCTGCGAAAGTCTTGGTTCTTCAGAGAGGTTGAACAGCGTTGGGATCGAAGGCCCAAATATGTCGGTGTCTAGGATCCCGGACCTGTGCCCCAACCTCGCGAAGGCCAGCGCAAGATTCGCTGTAGCATTGATTCGCCGATCAACATAAAGACCCATGAGAATTGGAGGGACACTGCAAGTCGAGACACGAACCGGCGACTGTGCTCTTTCCCACGCCGCCCTTGGCCGAAGACACGGCGACAACTCTCGCCACGTCTTTTATCCTCCTCCTTTCGGGCAGGCCGCGCTGCATGCGCGGGATCGTCCCAGTCTTGGGTAGCCCCTGTAACCAGCAAACAGGGTCACGCGTCAGCGACATTTACTAGAACGGCATTGGGATCTTTAAAGCCCATGTTGTTGCTACGCAATGGACGTGCCAGCTATGGTTCAGTAGAACCAAGGGAAAGAGGCGTGCGTACTAAGGGATTTTCATGCCGCAGTGGCGCCAAGGCATGGAACACCCTTCGCCATGGCGCATTCATGCTTCTAGGTCCCGACAGCAGCCAGGTACGCTCTGTTATGAATCTCGGAACGGACAGAGGTGGGGGAGGGTGAGGCAGGTTGGCATCTCCGCTCAAAGATGCACCCATCCAGCACAAATAAGTCGGCTCCAAATCCGGCATCTCAGAATCCAATAATGCGTCAAAGCGCCCGCATGGCCTGCAAGCCGAAGGACCCTCATTATTTCCGAAAACAGCAAGGCCCAGGTCGCGACAGATCTAAAGTAGAAGGCGGTAAACCACGGCAGGAGATCTGGACCCGCTAAAACTTTTGGCAAAAATTTGGGTGGGGGTTCTCGTTCTGGCGCTCGCTGAAGCTCTGGACCGTCGCGACACGCCAGGCAAAATGTCAACCATGGCGCCTGCAAAAGGTCGCTCGCAGCGCTTCGCCGAGTTTGAAGAGAAACTAGCCCAGGGTAAGACCCAGATGCAAAAGTTCGCAGGTGATCATTTACTAAGTCAGCATAGATTACGATCCCGAAGCCGAAGCTCCTGTGGAGGAGAGCGACGATAGCCAAAGCGAAGATGGTTCAGACGAGCTTGACGGCACCGAGCATTACGTCTCTGTCGGGTAAGATTGCCGAGCGATGCGACTTGCACAAATCATGTTGTCGTGCCTTCTCTAACCATTGTTCTTTATAGGAAGAGCAAGCTTCGCCGAACAGACCCCGTCTCTCTTGGGCCACGGTACAGCGGCAAGAGAGTCAGTCGCGCGGCATTGGACGACAGCAGCGAGGAGGAGGAAGATGACGAGGATGACGAAGCCACATCCGGAGAGGACGAGGACGAAGAGTTCGCCGACCCCGAGACGGCCGACCTCAAGGCGGACCATGTCGATCGTGACGAAGAGATAGACAGCGACGACGCCTTGTGCGAGAGCGACCAGGAGAAGTTCGCCAAGTTTACGTTCCGTGGCAGCTCGAAGCCGAAACTCACCCCTGCCCAGCGAAGGCAACGGCCTACCGCTGCCGACTTTCTCAGCGACTCGGAAGAGGAGGGCTTGAAGGCCGACTCAGACGATTCCATCGGCGATGAAGATGAGGAAGAGGAGGGTGAAAGCGAGGACGGGCTTGGGCAGTCTGACTCTGAGGATGGGTCTGGGTTGGACGATGACACCGACTCGGGCTCCGACGATGACGGGAGCGAAGACGAAGACGACACAGACGGCACGAGCGGAGATGAATCCGAGGCTGGAGGGGCAGACAAGAGAGCAGAGCTCCGCAAGATCATGAGTGAGGGTCAAAAGAGCATCGTATCGACCATGTCCGAGGCTGCCAAGGCCGACGCCGAAAAGGGCAGTGCAGTTCGGCAACAGCGGCGTTCGTTCGATGCTCTCCTCAACATTCGAATCAGACTCCAGAAGGCGCTTGTGGCCGTCAACTCCCTTGGCACAATCTCCGAGAGCGATCAAGACCTGGCGGGCGACGAGCCTTACCAGGCGGCCGAGGAGGCGGCGCTCAAACTCTGGAGCACTGTCGAGACTTTCCGTTGCTCGCTGCCCACCAGCTCGGCTGCGGCATCCGGGAAAAAGCGGAAGCGGGAACTGGGACTGGACACGCCTCTCGGCGAGCTTTGGGAGGACATGGAGGCAATCGAGTCTCGGGCGGCGTCGCACCGAAAAAAGGTGCTTGAGAAGTGGTCAAACAAAGTCCGGAGCACGACAGCAGTAGCTACCTCGCGCAAGTTGGGCAATGCAACGGTGCAGCGACTTACGTCGGTGCTGGACGACCAACTGGTGCAGTCGGACCGGCTCGTGAAGCGCACGCGGGTGCCGCGGTCGTGCGCGCCGGTGCAGATGGCCAAGAAGGTGCAGGAGGACGAGGGCATTTACGACGATGCCGACTTCTACCAGCTGCTGCTCAAGGAGCTTGTGGACCAGCGGACCACGGACTCGGGCGGCGACGGCGGGCCGGGTGGCTCGTCGGTCCCCACGGTGCGGTGGGGCGCGGCGGCCCAGGAGGCCAAGACGCGCAAGGTGGTGGACAGGCGGGCGAGCAAGGGTCGCAAGCTGCGGTTCACTGTGCACGAGAAGCTGCAAAACTTCATGGCGCCCGAGGACCGGCGGGGCTGGGGGCAAGAGGCCATCGACCGCTTCTTCGGCACGCTGTTTGGCCAGAAGATGGAGCTGCGCGAGGACGATGGGTCCGAGGATGAGGAGATGGGTGGAAACTTGGAGGAGGAAGGTCTGAGGCTCTTCAGGTAGACAAGGCCGGCTCAGAAACCCGAGCAAAGCCGACTTGAGGACAGGGTTCCTTGAGCATGGATCGGTTTTGGGATATTTTAATGTAGGGCTGGTGCACATAAAACATTCGAAAATCGGGTTGGCATGGGAATATCAAGTGCCATTGGGAGACAAAATATCTGTCATCAGAATCTTGCCTAGTACTATCCTCCCCACTCACTCATCACCACTTCCATCAGCCCGTTGCGCCAAGCAGGCCGGAGCCCAACAAGCCAAGGAAGCAGACGGTATGGACGGCAAGGTGCACAGGCGGACCGCCAAACGGGGCACTGCTCTTAGGCGTGCGCTCGACGGCGGCGGCGGCGGAGGCCGGGCGGAAGATACGCGCGAGGGCCCTGTAGGCCGGCCAGACGTGATACGAGGCCAGGGCGAGCACGATAAGGCGGCCGGTCCGGTCGAGGAACTCGTCGTCCGGGCGGAGGACCAGGGCCACGGCGACCAGGTTGGTGGTCAGGAGGGCGCCGCCGAGGTTCTTCAGGATCAGGTCGGCCTCGGCCCGCGCGGCGGGGTCCCGGGCTCGCTCGAGCGGCAGCTGGCTCCGGGGCTGCAGGATGAAGGACCGTGCCGCGGCCGTCTCGACCAGGATATGCAGGATCAGGGGGAGCTTGGATGGTATCATTTTTGGGGAGTTTGTGGGCGGGCACAAGGGTCGGGTTTGTGTTTGCCCCGTGCAGTCGGGATCGGAACAACCCTAGGTACGTGAACGCGTAAATGAGGAACGAAGGGGTGAGATGAGGGTTTCAGCGGACCGAAGGCCCCCACAGAGAGGTACATCCGAGGTACTTGCATGCTTGGGGTGGGATGGACGTTGCGCCAGTCATCTCTACTAGTAGATACCTTGGAGACCATTAAACTCTCTTCAGTAAACCGAGTTGGTCGCTTTGACAACGGGCTGGGATTATATAAGGCTACTGTTAAATGGATGACACCCACACCCCAAAACACACCACACCTCTGCAAATCACAAGTCTACTTACTGCCTGCCGAGATGAATGCCGCCGCCCGACCTAGGCTATGATGCACATCACCATCCATGGTAGCTGCAACTGCCAGATGCAGAGCACAAACGGCCCTAGCCACACTGACTGGGCGGCTGCATCAGCCAGGCGGTCGGGCTGCGGGGGCGATCCCTGCGAAGCTTGCAGCCGCAGGCAAATCGATTGGCCAATTCGCGCTCGCCAGTCCTTCCAAGTCCCGCTGCTGGGCCGTCGAATTGGGCACTTGGTGCGACGACAGCAGCACCTTTGTCGAGCCGTGGCCACGCAACCTCTACCGAATCCTGACGCAGCGTGTCCTCTCAGCCTCCCCCAAAACGTCCCCTTACGATTCAGGGACCTAACGCGATACCGTGACTCCAAGCCCATGATCCCTGCACGATTGCACTCACCGCATGATCGCGCGCCGCGACTCTTTTTTTTTTTTTTCTCATCGCCTTTTTGCTGTGCTTGCCATCCGGTCCCAGGCCGCGGCGCGGCACAACCCATGGCCGAGGTACAATGTCGTAACTTTTGCCCAGCCGAGCCCTTGAGTCTTTTTTTGATGGGGCCCCATCTGGTTCCTGACCGCTGGAGGGGGAGGAAATATGCTCCTGTGTGTGGACCAAAGGGCGGGCGATGCAGGGTTCCAGCACAAGAGGGTCGAACAGGTTGGGAAGTCTGGGAGGAAGATGCAATCAATGCTTTTCCACTGACGTCGCAAACACGGTACCTAGTGTATCCTGCCTACCTACACCTCTGCCCCTGCCTGATTTGGCCAAGCAGCTCCTGCATTGCCGGCCCGTTCTCTGCCGCTCGAAACGGAAACCCAAAAGAAGCAACCTCAACATTTTTGTTCCCTATCATTGATTGTTATTGTTGCTCAAGACCGCAATCGCAAACAACAAAAAGCTGCGCCTACCCTTAACCTTAACCGTCAACAGCCTCCCTACCCCCCACCCTCTCAATTCGCCGTCGCCGACCTTCTCACCGAGAGGCACGCGGCCGAAAAGGGCCTAGGCAGACGAGGAGGAGAAGAAGACGAGCGGAACGGGACGGAGAGAAGGGACGAGAAGACCAGAAAGTGCCGCAAAAATGGCTGCGCCGCAGAGCAGCTTCCGGGAGCTGGGGCTCTCCATCCTGGGAGTTGGCTCACAGTACCCCCCGTACTCGCTCAAGCCGGATGCGGTCGAGACTCTGGGGAAGCGCTTTTACCCAGATTCGCCAGCGTGAGTTGTCCTGGCCAAGGGCGCGCCCGGCGCATGTGCCTGCCCCTCATGCAACCCAGTATTCATCCGGTCGGTGTACGTGGTGCGAGATGTAGGAAGCGAGGTGGGAAAGGAGCATCTCGGTGTGCTGACCTGACGGCCCACGCGCAGCATGAAGAAGGTGCTAGACATAAACCGCTACACGGGCATCGAGGGGCGCTCCTCGATCGGCAACCCAGACCACCCCTTGGTCAACGGGCCGACGGCGCCGTCAATAGCGGAGCTGCACAGCACCTTCATGAGCGACGGCGTGCCCCTGGCCATCAGCGCCGCGCGCCGCGCGCTGGAGGACGCGGGGCTGGGCGGCGACGACGCGGCCGCCCAGATCACCCACGTGGTCTCCACCACGTGCACCGACAGCGCCAACCCGGGCTACGACCACTTTGTCGCCCGTGCGCTGGGCCTGTCCCCCTCGGTCGAGAAGGTGCTCCTGCACGGAGTCGGCTGCAGCGGCGGGCTCGCCGCCCTGCGCACCGCCGCCAACCTCGCCCTCGGCCACGCCATGCGCGGCCTCCCGGCGCGGATCCTGGTCCTGGCCCTCGAGGTCAGCACCACGTTTGTGCGCAGCGAGCTGGATAGCATCAACTCGGAGCAGACCACCAGGATCGGCGTCTGCCTCTTCTCCGACTGCGCCAGCGCCGTCGTGCTGAGCAACGGCGTCGGCCAGGCCCCGACCACAGAGCCCGCGTTCGATCTGCTCGGATGGCAGAACAGGACGATACCAGACTCGGAAGTCGACCTTGGGTTCGATGTGGATCCGGCTGGTGAGTTTGGTCTTAGGTTGCCGCTCCCGCGGCTGTTTGACTCATCCCTGCTAACCATGAAAACACAATCTGCTCAGGATGGAAGGTTATCTTGACACAGCGCGTGCCCAAACTGACGGCCGAGGTGCTCCGGCCGACGTTCGACTCGCTGATGTCGTCGCTGCCGCCACTGCCCAAGACGTACGGCGCAGCGGCCGACTTCGACTGGGCCATGCACCCGGGCGGGGCCACGATTCTGATGGGCGCCGAGAAGGCCATGGGGATGGCGCCCGAGCACATGCGGGCGAGCTACGACACGTACATGAACCACGGCAACTCGAGCTCCGCCACCATCTTCAGCGTCCTGGACCGGCTGCGCCAAAAGGACATGGACGCCCACACCCCTGGTGGCCGGCCCCCGGCCGACTACGTGGTTGGCTGCGCCTTCGGCCCCGGCATCACAGTCGAGATGTGTATGCTGCGCAGGAGGCGGCAGGGCGCGGCCGCCGTTACGGGCCTGCAGACGCCGCCCGAGACAGAGAGCGAGGCCAGCAGGAGCGACGACGAAGACGACGTGCAATCGAAACGGGCTGCGCCCCAGAGCAGCAGCAGAAATGGCAACAAGAGTAGCGGCGTTGCGGGTAGTTCTAATGGATTTGTTGAGTCGGCAGGATCGGATGCGTTCATAAGCGAGGCGTTGGCTGGGGTCGAGTTAGACTAGAGGGTCTCCTGAGACGTTAATGGAATGGGTGTGGTGGCGTGGGTCACACACACTTCTAGAGTGTGGTCAGCTGGGCTGTCGAGGAGGTTGTCGGCACGTGTGCATCATACATGTGCTTGAGGCCAAGAACCACGGTGTGCTTTCAGCCTGCCACCCAGAGGTGCAGATTATCTTTCAATAACATCTACCACCTGGGCCCTATTTTAGACACATACAATACAAACGTTCCATTAGTCATGGTCCGAATAGTGACATGCAATGGTGAAAAGATTTGGCACGCGGGTTATTCATTACAATCCGACCTATGGCGATGCGGCCTTGGTTCCATTTACTGTCAACAAAACCTTGAACACCTATCACACCCGCCTTTCCGTTGTGGTCTCTCTGGAGCCTGCAACGGGCAGGGCAGGTACCTCTTCTTCACATTTCGCCAGCTTGAACATATAGCCGCCGACTGGGTACTCCATCTGGTAGGCCTCTCGGCTGGTAAAATAAGGGTAAAAGAAAAGTCTGCATGTGGTGCCCGTGCAAGTTAATCCCGCCACTGCAGAGTAGGCATCCATCCGGACAAGGTCCGTAGTGCCATCTTGTGCAGGAATATACAAACAAAATGGCCTATTTTCACCTTGGTAATACCCTGAGGCCAATGTGCCTAGGAATCAGAACAGCAAAGAAAATGGGGGGGAATAAGGAGAAAAAGAGCAAGAAGAATAGAAAGAATAAAAAGAACAGAGAAAGTGATAACGACCCAGACGCTAACCAGGTAAGGCTGGCTGTGCTGACACAGAGAAAGCATCTAGACGTGAAAGACAGGCCGCCAGCGATGGCAGGTGAAATGGGCAGACAGAAAATATACGAGATTGTGAGATACGGTTAACGGAGGGCGGAGAGTGCTGCGATGGATGCATGCATTGTGTGAGAGCGGCGAGATGGCCAGAATAAATAGGTGACCGCCCTTGGTCGCTGTCGTGTCGCGATACCCAGGTAGATCCAGGTAGATACGAGCCCGCCTCACACTCCTCTTCTTCCCATTCTTACTCTTCTTGCCCCCTTTGGAAAGTTTGCCACGTCTACCGCATCTGTGTCACAAAGAGGTGCCGAGTTTCTGTCAGAGCTTATAAAGAACTTGCTTACACCCTCCGTGGTGCCAACAAGATTCTTATACGCGCGGCGAAGAAGAGCGGAGAACCCAATCATAAAATGATGGAGAACATTGGGCCAAAAGTGAAGCGGTCACAGGGTCTTTAACTGAGAGAACGCGAAGCTGCCACCTGAGTTCCCTAGCTCAACGTCCTTTCTTTACTGGGGTCCGCCATCATACTGCTGCCGTTCGGTGCCGATTCTCCTTTTCTTTCTTTTCTCCTCCCGCTCCCTTACAACCAGCTGTCGCGAGGGGAGCTGAGTTCCCGTACGCCATCCTCACGGGATATCGGTACCGGGGTGCCAAATGTCGAATCCCAGCAGCGAATTGGCCCTTGTAGAGGAACGAACATTATTGCGACCAAGCTGGGTTGCCAGTTTAAAGCAAGCTTCCTCTGCAAGTGCAGACATAACACTCAATACAAAATAGCTTCCGCAACTAGCTATCTCATGACTTCATATTTTGATATCTGCTCCTTCACCAAGGCAGCCCACCAAAATTCTCATCATGTCGGTATATCACCCGCGGAATTTCAACCTCCACTGGAGAACATGCCGCCGCCGCAAGCGTTGAATACACCCTTCATTGTTCCACCCTACCATGCCCCATCATCTACCGGCACGCACAGACAGCGACCACCTACATGAAGCCCACTATGCCTTTGTGGCACCGACTGCGTTTGACGTCGGGGCGGCGGTCGCTGCGGCGCCCTTGTCGTCGGCCGCGACGTCGTCGTCGAGGCTCTCACCCTTCTTGAGCCCGAGCTGGCGCGTGTCGTAGCCCTGGCTCTCGAGGTACTGGCGGAAGCGCGCGTCCTCGTGCGTGATGGTGTCCTGCCCGACGTCGGGCAGGCAGAAGAGGGCGAGCGCGGCCGACACGACGCACAGGCTGGACGAGACGTAAAAGGGGTACTGGGCCGACGCCGCCTTGTCGCCGCCGCCCGCCGCCTCGATGTACGGGTAGACGTAGGTGCCTACGAAGGCGCCGATCTTGCCGACGGCCGCGGCTATGCCGTAGTATTCTGCAGCAGAGGAGTGGATCAGTAGGGTGCCCTCTATATTTGGGTCGGCCTCAACTCCTCGCCCTCGGCTAGGGAAGGTGGCGTTTCTTTTTTTTGTATACTCACGCCCACGAACTCCGGTTGCGCAGGTTTTTGCTGCCAAAAGCCCGATATTGTTCCCTGGGCCAAGCTCGCCCATGGTGAGAAAGATGCCGTAAACCACTGCAAAAGCCCCAACCGTAGACGGCTGTGAGAGGCTGGGGTAGAGGCCGGCCATTATGAATCCGATTATAGCCTGCACCGTGACTCCGGCGGCGAGGGCGTACCGAGGCCCAATCAGATCACTCAGGGGGGCGCCGAGCATCGTCCCTGGTATGTAAAATAGGTTGATGACCGTGTTCCAGCCAAAGATGACGGTCAAGGGCGCATCGGAAGGGAAGATGTTTGCCAGGATCGCCGATGAGTATATGCCAAAAGCATAGGTGAGGAACTGCCGTCTGGGGTTACTTGGTGGTCCTAGGGTTCCAGGGGAAAGTGCCAAAACAAACTCACGTCGTATATGAACCAAATCAAGCTAACCATCAACAGCCGCCAGCCGTAAAACTTCAGGACCAGCCAATATGGCATCTTGGCATGCTTCATCGAGTTTCGCTTAAACTCTTCGGGTTCTTGAAGCCGGAATCGAAGCCCTAGCAGCACCAAGGGGAACACAACGCCTATCCCCAGACTGGTACGCCAAATGGTCTCTAGGTACGTGTTCTGGGCAGCGACCGCGACAACGTCTAGTTTATCCCACCATCAATCAGTCACTGTTGAGCCATGTCCCTAGCACAGCCGAAAGACAAACTTACACGGGACAAATGCACCCATCACGAAGCCCCAATCAATCATGCTATTGGTGAACCTTTGGCGAGGATCAGCCGGAGATTTTCAACCCGAGAATATCAGCGCAGGACTTACAAGATAAACCACATATTGCGACTCCCGCTCTTGAGCTCGCCTGTCGACTCGGCGCAGCCAACGCTTCCTGCGGGGTACTCTCCTGTTCGGATGTGAGCCAAGGGTCCTTCTGGAGGTTCTGCCCCAGCATGGTGGGGTTATCTCACCTCCTATTCCTATCCCAACCTATTTCCATGAGCGTAAGTATCGCACCGGGTAAAGGCGGAACGAAAAGATGGAAAGCAAACACTTGGCCAAGCCAACTTACAAAGAAGCGCCAGGCAGTCAGCATGCTGAACATGCCCGCGGCCTCTCCGTACCAGTAAGAGCCGGTAGCGAGCGCAGTAAAGACTATCAGGATGATAGTCGATACGAGAAGGGAGTTGCGCCGCGACCAGTTGTCCGAGAGCCAGCCAAAGAGAAGTTGGCCAACAACCTAGAGGGATGAGCAGGTCAGAGGCTGAAGTGGCGGGCAGTTATCCGAAATAGGGATGGAAGAATCGGTCAAGTAATGAATCGTACAGTTCCGGCAAAGGCTATGGCGCTGACAATCTTTTTGGCATTCGAATCGGTGTACACAGAGTCATACTGCTTCCCAAGGACAGTTGACACAGAGCCAATAACCTAAAGCTCGTTGTATTGTTTAGCGAGGGCAAAAGCGCACAAGACTGGAAGCAAAAGAGTTGGTTTCTCACATTGTTGATATAGCCTGCCGGTCGTGACATTCCGAGTGTTAGTCGCTTGCTGGTGGCATACACTCGCCGGTTGGGGCCGGTTACACTACACACATACCGTCTGAGAAAAGGCCGGCGCCGCATGCGATTACTGGCATGATGGCGGTCCAGAACGGCTGGCTCTGTACTATATCCACCTCGGCGTCGTTCCCGGCAGGCTGACTGGGGGTTTCGGGCGTCGCCACCGACTCGTTCTCCGACTTTTTGCGTCCAAACCCCCTCATTGTCGCGGATGAGGAGTGGAAGGAATTGAGGCGAGGGTGCAGGGAGGACTATAATTTTGGAGAGACGGCAGAGTAATCCCAGAGCCATGTATGTAGGTACGGTGGGGGATTCTTTGCGGTTTTTATCTACAGTAGACCATTCCATCCGACCACTGCGGAAACAGGGGCTGGGCTTGAAGGCAGGCCATTTCATGCCGATCCCACCCATCCCCATCCATGTGCTGCCGCCAACAGCTGCAATTGGGTCCTAGCCCGTGTCGAGATATCGTCGTGACACGGATCCATGCACACCCACAGTCGCACATGTTCTTTCGGAGAGAAATGGCTGGGCCCACCACCCACTCGCATGCAGCGTCAGGTCACCCGGGAAGGCCCAGATGCTCTGATAGGCCGACGGGCTGGAGCTGCGTCGCAAGGAGCAATTGGGCCGGACTCGCCGAGGGGGGATAAGGATGGAGGTGAAGTTCGGGCCAAGGCGGCTGCTCCCCCAAAAGAACAAGCTTTTGGGATTGCCGGCTTGGTTGCGCTAAGCCTTTGCTGGTGTACCCCACATCCCCACAGCCGCTAGGATAAACACACCATCGCCACCCCAACCGGGCAGGCAAGGCTAAGGCTCTTCTGGCCTATCTACGTCCTGCTGTCAAAGCTGTATCTCGGGTCCCCATTCTCTGGACCGTCTTGCCTGTCTGTAGCGAGACTCGAGCACCCGTTGCCGTTGACGACTCTACCTACACTTGCCTGTTTCTACCCCTTCCCGACACTGTTCTCCATTTCACAGCCGGGCAAGCACATCCGCAGCCCCTTTTAGTCCCAATACTTGGTCCATGACCTCGGCCAGCCTGGCGACAGCGACCTCAGACAGCTGGTTGGTGCACCACTACCTCTTCCCATCAAGCTTCAGCCCGTGCCTCCTCCCAGCCTCGTTCCACTCCGCGGCCGAAACCCCAGCCCCCTTCAGGTCCAGCCACACCATGTTCGTCTCCACGGACCCACCCGCCGTGTTCTCGACGCTGACGACGCGGGTCGGGGCACTTGTGCATGTCGTCGGTCAGCACCGCGTGCTTTTCGACGTCCTCGACGGCTAGGTGGCGCCCGTTCAGCGGCCCATGGCGCCTGACAGGTGGGCCACGCCGCCTGCCTCGAAGTGGATGATGTGCGAGCGCGCGTCGGCGAGGATGGCCATAGCTGGTTTGGTTTGGTTGGTGAGTATTGGCAGTCGTGTTTGTTATATTGCTGTGGCCGTGAAGGAGAACCAGGCATCAAAGGGGAAGGAAACTAGGAGACTCACGGTGGTTGCTACAGAAGTGCCCTCAGCGCAAGCTAGTTGGCCATGGTTTCGCTGATGACGAAGGCTGCGGCCTCGTGCCCGCAGAGGCTGGCCATCTAGTCGGCCGTCGTGGCGTGTTCTCCATAGACATCGTCGTTGAAGGTTGCCTGTGCTATTGCTTTGAGCATGCCAACTGACGGCGTTGTGACGACATCGCCTTGATATAGTCAGCTCCGCGATCGACAACCTTGATAGCTTCACTTGGACCTACTTCTCAGGTCGAATGCCGCCCCTGTCTTCTCGGGGCAACCCCAGTTTCGCGGTTGCAGTGCCCCTGACACAAGGCTTGCTTTCTGATTGTTGTTGTTTGCACTCATAGCTTTGGCTGCTGACGACACACAAAACACTTGATGCAGGACTGACTCCGTGTGGTTTGCATGGTTAAAGACTGCGGTGGTTTCTCCGGTAGCGGCTATCAGGCAGCTCCGGGAGGGTACTGGCCAAACCTCTGTCCCGGCGGTTTTCGGGCAACCCTGATGAAACTTGACTCCCGGCTAGGCAGCCAAGAAGTCCTCGTCGCTAGCTTCCGAGGAGTAACAAACCCAAGAGATTGGCCTAATCCATGAGCTGCGAGCTTCCACAGCCCCCGTTTGAGGCAAGAGCCTGGATCCTTCGTGATATTTTTCACTAGTCGCGATGCCTTCCTGAGACAACTACCCTATGGACCGGCGTAGACCAGGGTCAGAAACTGACAAGCACTACGTCGCTTCGTCATTGTTGCCCAATGCTGGGGTTTTAGTGCTGATTGCGTTATGCTAGACGACCGAATCCAGATGGGATGATATCGCCGTCATACTACCGGAGTATGTATGTCTCCTCTAAGCATAGGATATGTCAATGGGCGTGCACAGGCAGTTGCGTACAGAAACTGATATCTCCCAGTCCGCCCAGAGCATGGCCAACAACAGGAGTATCTTCCGATGGGGAACCCGAGGACCCATCCTTCTATAAAACTGGCCCCAGCAAAGGAGAAGTCATGTGCTTGGCGAGCATGCGTATACATCTTTAACCGCACTAGCCCTGTGTGCTGTGTCCTCTTTACCGTCATGGCTCGCAGCACACGACATCGGCGCGACGATAGTGCTTGCAATGGGCGACCTCAACGAATCATCCCCCTCCGAAGAGGTAGCCGACGTGCAGACGGACAAGAGCCAAAAAGACACCGACTCGGGCTTCCGTCGCGGACCGCGCAGCCGCCGAGTACGGCTTTGGGCCGAGGCGGTCGCTGATCGCCTTCACCTTCATGTAAGCCGAGCGCCCATCTAGCCCGGATTCCAGACCGTTCCATATCATCCAGCGCCAGGTATAGCCTAGCGGGCAAATCTCCCAACTTTCGAGTCCAAGCCAGAAGTACGGCGGACCAACCAAGTCGAAACGGGCGCCCAACCCCTGATGCGTCAGCCGTGATACCCCTGGCATTTCCACACCTACCGTCGAACTGACTGACCGAACGTCCAAAAAGGTACCAGCTAGGCCAGGGCCATCGACGGCTACCTCATCCCGCCCTTCTCCGAGATGGTTGGGCGGCGGCGGCCCTACCTCGCCTCGTGCGCGGCCGTCAGCCTCTTCTGCCTGCTCGTGACGGCGGGCGGGCGGGCGGCGGCGGAAGCGGCTTCTACGTGGGCCGGTTCGTCACGGGCCTTGCCTCGGCGGCGCCCAGCGTCGTGGTGGCCGGGAGCGGCGAGGACATGCTCAACGCCCCGCCGCCGCCGCCACTGCGGGCTTGTTGTTTGTGGCCCCTGCTCTGGGTGCGGGAGAGCCGGCCGAGCATGTGAGACGAGGGCTTTTTTTGCTGTCGACCTTTTCCCACTCCCCTCCAGCTTGAGACTTGGCTGACCCTTGTGTGGTGTGTGCGTGTGCCATCTGTACCGAAAGACTGCTGGGCCGCGCAAGATCCGCCGTCTGGGAAAGGAGAAAGGACTCCGCAGCCTGCGCTGGTCCAGCCCGGACTCGACCCCCGGACGCCAGGGGCGCTCCTCGAGGCCCGTCGCGGTCAGGCCGGTGCGCATCCTGTGACGGAGCCGCACGTGGTAATGGTGGCGGTCATCTCGGCCGTCTCGTGGCGGCATCATCTACCGCTTCGCCGAGCGCCTGCTGGGCATCTACGAGGCCATGGGGCTGGGCGAGACACGGGCGTCGCTGCCGTTCCTCGCCATCGCCGTCGGCGTCCTACAGCCTGGAGACGCACCGGTGGGTCCAGGCCGAGGGGGACTGACGGGGGACTGTTTGGCCGGGACGCGGCATTGGAACACGAACGGTGTGCTAACGGGGGGAGCCAATATCAAACGAGAAAACAAGGAGATATCAAGAGACACAAGGATGGATTTCAAAAGCCAAGTCAACGCCCGTTTGCCCAGAAAAGGAAATGGAAGCACTATATGCAAAGGACCGGCGTCATGACCTCAAGGCTGGGAATCCGCATCACAAAGGAAATCAGTTATACACAACATTGTACATGCTCGCGGCTCTGCCGTCGACCCAGGACCCCGTGTTCGATCCAGGCAGGCAGGGCAAGGGACGCGGAGGGGACGGCAGAAATAAGAAAAAAGGACGAGAACCAGCAGCGCAAGAACATGCAAAGCCCAGCGGACAAGGAATCGAGCATAACCAACACTGCCCCCGGGAAAAGTCATTCATAGCCTCCTAGAAACCCCTATTACCCCAAATCACGGCCCTGATGCTCCTCCGAGCCGTCCCGAGGTTGATCTTGCATCTGACCCAGTGTTCGTATGGGGGGCGAAAACGCGCGCGCTCCGCTCGCCCGGCTCACGCCGTCTTCTTCCACTGGGCAATAACGCCCAGGACGCTGCTGACGGTACCCGCGATACCGACGATGCCGTCGTCGAGGCCGACCCAGCCGAGGGCCGAGAAGGGTATGGTGAGGTCGCACAGGTCGGAGAGGAGCTGGGTGCGGGCGGCGGTTCTCTCGCTAGATTGGGAGACAGCAGTTGTTAGCACGGGCTAATGACTCCGAGGCAAAGGTCAGGTGGGGGAGGAGACAAATAAAAAAAANAAAAAAAAACTAAAACAAGGGCGATCCTCTTCCCCTCAACGACGCCCTCGCCCTCCTTGCGGTCGACCCTGGCCTCGCGCTCCTTGAGGCGGTAGAGGGCGTACAGCTGGGCCGAGACGCTGCAGAGCAGGCCCATGGCCCAGAAGCGGTAGGCCTCGCGCTGGAGGCGGGCGGCGCGCGGGGAGCGGCGGACGCCGGCGGCGTCGAGGACGGTGGCGGCGTCGAAGGTCAGGTAGCCGGCGTAGCCGAGCTGGCGGCCGAT